TAGATAGATAGATAGATAGATAGATAGATAGATAGATAGATAGATAGATAGATAGATAGATAGATAGATAGATAGATAGATAGACTTCTTGGTACAGTGGTGCCTCGCTTAACGAGCGCACCGTATAACGATGAAATCGCATAGCGATCCGTTTTTTCGGATCGCTAATGCGATCACTCAACGTTTTTTTAATGGGGAAAAATTCGCTTGGCGAAGACCGGTAAGCGTTTCGCTTACCTATCGTCACAAAACAAAGCCCGACGATCAGCAGTTCGGCAGCCAAAATGGCCGCCGGAAGCCCGGAAATGGCCCAAAATGGCCGTGCGCAGCGTTTTCACGCCCTCGTTAAGCGAGGCGAGGGCGCGAAAATGGCTTCCGGCCATTACGAAGCTTCGCTGAACGGTGAGTATTTGGCCCAATGGGTTTTTTTTTGGCGGCCAAAATGGCCGCCGGAAGCCGGGAAATGGCCCAAAATGGCCGCGCGCAGCGTTTTCGCGCCCTCGTTAAGCGAGGCGAGGGCGCGAAAATGGCTGCCGGCCATCCTGAAGCATCGCTGAACGGTGAGTATTTGGCCCATTTGGAACGCATTAAACGATGTTTAATGCGTTCCAATGGAAATCCCTGCCCCGTTCAGCGATGCTTCAGCATAGCGAAGGTTAATCCGGAACGGATTAACCTCGCTATGCGAGGCACCACTGTATCTCATTGCTCAGGATTAAACTCCTGGTCTTGGAAGACTCTGTAGTCATACATGTAGATTTCCATAGGTTGTTGGCCATTCTTGATTTCTTTGCTTGAGCCCTCAACTTTCCTACTCAGCTCTACATACCATCGTCACCTTATTGGACACACCTGGTATTGAACTTGAGCATGTGATTTTTCCTTAGCCTCCTCTCCTGAGCATGTTGATGTTTGGATGGCACTCCAGCTTGGCTTATCGCCCACAGGGATTGTATTCAGCAGCTCTTCTCACACCTACAAATCTGAACTGAAGGGACAAGACTGTAGGAAGGGCAGAACACTACGTTGATCAAAATTGGTGCACCTCACAAACTTCCCGAAAGTTCTCATGGCACATCTTGAAACTTGAAGTATCTACCCTTCCAGCGATGTTTCTGCAAATCTTCCCTCCCAATCTGTACAAAGTGGACCTTGTCCTTTTTTCCTGCAAGTCTTAATGGATCTCCTTTAACTGGTACAGTTTTTTAAAACTACAGTGGGCCTGCTTAAGTTTAACAGCACCTGGTGTCTCATGTGGACTGAATGGAAACTTGGAGAAGAATGGTGGAAATACCTAGCTGCGGCCCTACCTCCTTACTGTGCTTCTTATTTGGCCTTCATCCCTCTTTGAAAAGAAAGAATTGCTGGTTTGGCTGATGCAAGAGGTAAGTTTGTCGTACAGTGGACCCTCTACTTACGGAATTGTCCTTTTTTTCCTGCAAGTCTTAATGGATCTCCTTTAACTGGTACAGTTTTTTAAAACTACAGTGGGCCTGCTTAAGTTTAACAGCACCTGGTGTCTCATGTGGACTGAATGGAAACTTGGAGAAGAATGGTGGAAATACCTAGCTGCGGCCCTACCTCCTTACTGTGCTTCTTATTTGGCCTTCATCCCTCTTTGAAAAGAAAGAATTGCTGGTTTGGCTGATGTAAAAGGTAAGTTTGTCGTAATTCCATGATTTGTTTCTGGGTCAGCGAACCAATGCTGGGGGGTGCTTGCAGAGTTCACCAAAGCAGGGGGAAGAGGAAAGAAATGTTGTTGAGGACCACTGAAAGCCAAGGATGGCAAATTTGGGGTTTGTTCCAACATTTGCATCAGCACAGCTTCAGGTTTTGACTAGTCTCGTAGGCAGAAAGCCATGAAGCAAGTGCTAAGAGGAATTCTTCTTTGCAACCCACAGTTGATCTGTATTGGCTGTGTTACTTAAATGAAGGGACATATAAAGTAACACAGCATGTGGGAATTGAATGCCTGGCTTGACCGTATTGCTTCACTAATTCCCTGAAGTTTCATTCAAGTTTTCTGTAATCTCACGCAGGTAATTAGTGGAAATGTCTGTTTTGAAACAAATTTTGTGGCCAAATAGATGGTCAAAATCTGTAATAATAGATGGTAATATGTGCTGGGTTTTCTTAGCAAGTCTAGAATACTGGTTCCCAACCTTGGGCCCCCAGATGTTCCTAGACTACAATTGCCAAAAGCCTTCACTGTTAGCTGTGCTGGCCAAGATTTCTGGGAGTTGTAGTCCAAGAACATCAGGGGACCCAGAAATTGGTATCAGAAGTTTGTGTTTACTATATTGCACAAATCCTGCATGTTAGTGAAAAGGCATTTGAAATAATGGAATCACTGCACTAGAAATTGGTATCAGAAGTTTGTGTTTAATATATTGCACAGATCCTGCATGTTAGTGAAAAGGCATTTGAAACAAAGCCACATCTGAGACTCAATTCTCTGAATTTCTGATTTTCAGGCATTTGGAAGGTAAAGATCTTTGGAAGAGATGTTCTGTCATAAAAAAAGGTATCTTCACCAGTTAATACCCTACCTTATTTTACTGTTTTGGATGTTTCACTGGGTATATGAATAAAGCCATAATTGCACTGTATGGTATCTGCATCCAGCAGACTCTTCCTGATGGCATGTTCAAAAAGCAGTGCAATATTCAAATCAACATGTGGCATCGTTGGTTCTCAAGCTGCTGTGCTTGCAGAACCTGGTAGTTTTGTTGAAACAAGCAGCAGTGGAAAAACCCAGAGGTCATGCTGTTGAGAGTGGGGTGGAAGTTGCAATGGTTGAGTCTATCAGCCTGGGGAAGCCAGCATAATTGAAGGGAATCCAGTGGAAAGACTGATTTTTCTGCCAGTGTACTCTTTGCTTTACATTCTTCAAAGTCTTTGTGTGAGTGCTTTCAAGTAAAAATGTTTAATATAAGAATACATTATCAGGATAGTTCACAGGGACTGATCCTGTAAATGTTGCTGTAAATCATGGTGGGTTTGGTTTAAATTTTAAATAATCAGATTTTTTAACAATTTAAATAATTTTTTTAATTTAAATCAAATTGATTTTTAAAAATCCTTGTTTTTTTACCCACTCTGCTGTAAATTGCTGTTTGTGCCTCTTGATGGCACTAAAAGAGTCTAACCTGGCATGGTTCTGACCATACATATGTGCAAATACTTACTACTTTGTCCAAGGTAGTGGCTGAATTCAGTGCCTTTCTGAGTTGTTCATGAGTGTGACCATATATATTTTTTGTTTTGAAGAATTCCTCTTGAAATGGTCTCCAGCAGGCAGAAGGAATAGATAGAGTGATTGTTACTGGATTCAGCAACTGCTCTTGCCTATAGGTAAGTAGTGATTTTTTAGTTCTAAAGAGAACATCCAGAACATATTAAACATCCAGAAAACAACTAAGCCCCATTGACAAGAGGTTTGTGAATGGGGTTTAGTTAAAATGGCCTTGTTGAGGTGGTAAATATGGGCACACTTTACTTTTGTGTCCCAGTTGATCAATGAGGCTACAGAAAAACAGGTTATGCTTCCATCATTGTAAGGCCAGTTACACTGGTGACAATGAGGCCTGTAATAAGAGTATGTTGAAATTTCAATAGCAAACGGAAGTGTGAGAATTAAACTAGGCATTCCCCCATGTATCTTGTGCATATGTGTATATGAGTGTTGTTGAGACCCAGTGTTGGGAGAAAGGTGGGATATGCAATATCTACACAAACTTAACGGCAAATTGCTGATATGAGGAACCAAGGGGGTGGGATCCAAAACTGTGTTTATGGAGTAGACCAGACCTTACTCTTCATTGATCAGGCTTTATGCTTCACAGTGCATTCTTTGTAACTGTGGAGGCAGATGATTTATGCTGGGTTTGCTGGCTTTTGCATAGAATGCAGGAAGGGTACCTTAGGGTACCGTCTGTGCCTTTCTCTGGCTGTCCGTGGGCTTCTCTGTGGAGCAGAGTTGGGAGGAAAGCTGTTGTCACACTACTCGGGGTAGAATCCCTTTCTTTTACTGGCCTTTTTTAACTCATGGAAACAGGCCCTGTGTTAGCAAGTGAATATGCTGCTGAGGGCGTAGCAAGGACATTGATGTTGGTGTTTACTCTTGCACGGAGCCGATATATGTGCTTGGAAGTAAGCATGTTCATGGCAGTAGACTGGGATATACGTGGAGTTTAACTGGACTTTTTCTTCCTTTCCTTTTAAAAGATACTAAAGAGAGTGCACCTGTCCTAATAAATAGGTAAGAAACTGTTTTTATTATTTGTGGCATTTAGAGCATTGGATTTTCCTAGAATTGATCATTTCTTGATCATAAATTGCTGGGATTAGGCTAGCTTCCTCTTCTTCTTTGTATGATGATGCAAAGATGTGTTTATTGATAAAAGTCTTTTGTATGAGAGATGAATGGATTGGTAGCTGAAGAAAGTGTCATGGTGGGAGCCAACTGCTGCTGTGTTTAAATTGATTTGTTTCAATGTTATGGTATGATTAAGTTTATTTTAAATAGATACTTAGTATGTTTAGTTGCCTTATCCTTAGTAGAAAAGCAGGATATTCCTCCCACTGCTTGACAGAAGCAAGCTTCAAAGACACCCTGTCTATGTAGAAAGGAAGATTTAATCTCTTTTCCTTGGGGAGGCTGTCCTAAGAAATTGTTATGATGATTGGCAAAATGTTCAACTGCTCTGAAAAGAGTGAATGAAAACTGCCATTCTGAACAAGTTGAGCAACAAGTCAATCTGAAGTAGCCTTTGGTGCTTTTGCCCAACAAATGATAATGTCCTTGAACAGCAGAGGGTCCTTCCTATAGGACCTGTGGTGGATAGATGTGATGACGTTTAGCCATCATCAGTCCTAAGCCACAGGTGGAGTATCCTTTTTTTGAAATGTGGTGTGCAGAGTATGAATCTAGTGTTATATTTGAGTCTAGTGCTCTGAAATATTTGTTGGTGCATCATTGCTGAAGCACATAAAGGACTGTGTTATTCAACAAGCATGAGGAAGTAGAAGGAAGCAAGTTGTGCAGAAGCATCTTTGACACCCTTACATTTCTTCCTTGATGTCTGTTCTCGTACAGCTACAAATCGGCAACTGGCTCTCAGATCAGAATGACAGCACAACTTGATCGACGTTGCTGCAGCTGGGGAACTGGACACACAACAAGGTACAGTGACTTGTTTAAGCTTAATCTTTTAAGTTGTGTTTGTGGGTGGATATAGGGAATGTGTTCTGGAAGTACACCAACATGTCGAAAATAGCCAGACTATTCAGATTGTAGTGGCACACCGCAAAACCTTATCCAGGACCCCCTTTTTGAGCATCGTAATAGGGATGTGGTGGCACTGCGGGTTAAACCGCAGAAGCCTTTGCGCTGCATGGTCAGAAGGCCTGCAGTCATAAGATCGAATCCACGTGATGGAGTGAGTCCCCGTCACTTGTCCCAGCTCCCGCCAACCTAGCGGTTCGAAAGCATGCAAAATGTAAACATGCGAGTAGATAAATAGGTACTACGGTGGGAAGGTAACAGCATTTCATGTCTAGTCGTATTGTCTACGTGACCATGGAGGATTGTCTGCGGACAAACGCTAGCTGTATGGGTTGGAAACAGAGATGAGCACCACCCCCTAGAGTCAGACATGACTGGACAAATTGTCAAGGAGAACCTTTACCTTTACCTAAAAATGATGGAAGCCCATAGCGGGCTTGTAGGCCTTCGCACTGTGGGTAGAATCCAGCACTGAGGTCTATCCCGATAGGGCCTTGCTGTAGGTTCTTGTCGTTGGAAACGCCTCATAGAGCAAGCTTGTAGTTTTACTTGGCCCACTGAATCCTATGTTAGTTCAGTGGTATAAAACTGCAGTACAATAAATGATAAGAGCATTCCAGATTTCCAACGCTTACACCCAAGAACAGACATTAAGAAACATTTTCTTTCTACAGGTACAGCTGCAGTTCTGCAGTACAGCTGAAAAGTATGTTCATGAAAAGGTAACGTTCTTGACTCTAAGTTGTGTAAACTTTACTGCATTTTGGTTGCTTAATGCTTAGCTTTTTTAAAATAACCTCAGATGTTGGGTTTTTGTTTAGATGTGTACCTATGTACATGCGTGATGGGGTGAGGTATAAAACATTTTTTCTACAGAATGTGAAGTTTGCTGGAAGAATTAAGTTGTTAATGGGGCCAGAATTCACAGATGTGTACCCATGGTGATTTTTTTTTGTACCAGATGCCTTTTTTAGAACACAGCAAAAAGTTGTGGTTCCTCAACTTGCTACCTAAATAGATTGCTTATTTTCCTACAGCAGATGGGTGTCCTTACAGTGGGTTGTCCCTCCCAATCACCTTTAAGAGACAAGATCTGAGGACCAATCATTTTTCAGTGGTTAACTGCTTAGGGACTGTGCTTTGGTCCAGACAAATGCCCATGTGCCTGGAAGATGATTAGGTGACCTTAAGTCCACTCAGCTAAAATGAGATGTGTGTGTTACATAAATAATTAAAAAGTGGGGGACAGAACTGACTTGATGGTAGGTGACCTTAAGTCCACTCAGCTAAAATGAGATGTCTGTGTTGTTGGGAGGGAAGAGAAGGATAAAATCAGACATTTGTTTCCCTGCAACCTGCTCTGAATTATATTGGATAGAATGCCAGTCAATGGCCATCCTGCATCACACTTCTTCCCATAAGAGTTGATGTCCAAGTAGCAGGAAACTCCTGCTACCTGGGCATCAACTCTTATGGGAAGTGCTACTCCAGTGCTCTGAAGATGCCGGCTACAGCGACTGGCGAAACGTTAGGAAGAACAACCTTCAGAACATGGCCTAAGAGCCCGGAAAACCCACAACAACCATCAGATCCCAGCTGTGAAAGCCTTCGCGAATACATAGCAGGAAACTGCTGCAGTGTGATTTAACACTGAAACCACATAAAAATGTTGCCTGGTCACTACCAAGGCTGCTAGGAAACACCGTTTCTGGTATGCTGTGGACGTGACCACAAAGTAACTCCTGCAGGTTTTCATGTTGCTGCTACAGTAGCATCAAATCTGTTGGAAACATTTTGTGAAAGTTGGGTACTCCAGTGTGTAGGTTCACAGTTGCAACTGAAAGAACTTTGGAAGTCTTCCATCAGCAGCTTGTGTTGTTAAGCTCTCTCCTCCCCACCCCCTTGGTTCCTCATATCAGCAAGGCCCTGCAGACAGATATCCATGGGACCCTTACTTCAGGCTGCTTAATGGTTCAGTTCCTGAAAGTACTTAATTCTGTCCTACACTTTTTTACAGGATCCGTTGGCAGTGTGCCCCTAACAGAAAATCCGTAATGAAATCCAATCAGAATCTGCAGGCCAGGCCAGTGAGTGCCAGTTTAAAGGTAAAGACAGCTGCTTTGGGGACACTGTGCAGGAGGTCCATTCAAAGAGTGCTGTGTGTTGTTCAACAAGCAGTTCTTAACGCTGTGACCTAATAGGGAGATCCTCTGCAGGATATCAAGAGTACTTGATGTGTGCTCTGTGGTCTATACCAGAGGAGACATGTTCTTGAGTGTAATGGTTTTGGACAGATAGATGGTTTTCAGGTAATTACAGGATGGTTTGAAATTAAAATAGCTTTCTTGTATAGCAGGAGAACGCCCCCTGATAAATGTCAGCTGTTGTTGGGAGTAACCCTATGAAAAATGGTTACGTGAATCCAACCAGTTCAAAAGTCTTAATTTTACAAAGTGAGAGGAAAGGCTACCATAAGCGTCTTGTGTCTCAGTTCATTTACACTAACTGTTTTGCTGTCTTCTAAAACTAATTTTTCTGTTTCAGGTCTCTTAACCCTTGAAGCTTGGAGAAAAAAATAACTTGGAAGAAGATGAGGCTGCATTCTATCAGATGTTTTGACGATACACAATATTTGAATAAATGTTTCTGGTCTACCACTTTGAAATACTGGCTAATGACAGTCTTAGCAATATTGATCTGTAGGTTCTTTTTAAAACAAATATTGAATAAACTGATCTGTAGTTCTAAATTATTCAATAAACAAATTGCTGAAAATATGTTAGTCATTATATACACAAAGCTTAGCTTTATTAATTTTCTCCCCATTTGTACTCATTTGGCTGCTGTATAGTAGTTGCAGTCTGTGGTTGATTTTGAATTTGTTCGTTTTTCCCTTTACAACCTAGTTTCACAAAACAAATATTGAATAAACTGATCTGTAGTTCTAAATTATTCAATAAACAAATTGCTGAAAATATGTTAGTCATTATATACACAAAGCTTAGCTTTATTAATTTTCTCCCCATTTGTACTCATTTGGCTGCTGTATAGTAGTTGCAGTCTGTGGTTGATTTTGAATTTGTTCGTTTTTCCCTTTACAACCTAGTTTCACTTAAGTACCTTCTCTTATGTGGACTCTCAGCCCCCTGAACTACCGTATTTGCCAGTGTATAAGGCGACTGGGCGTATAAGACAACCCCCCAACATTTCCACTCAAAATGTAGAGTTTGTTATATATTTGCTGTATAAGGCTACCCCCTCTTCCGCATGTGATTCTGGTTCCTTTTGGTGGGAGAGAGCGAGGGTTTCCTGGAAGAAGGACAGCATCAGCGCCGAACAGCAGACTGTCAGGAAGCAGCAGAGAGGCAGCAGCCATGTAGTCGCATCTCAAAATGGCTGCCTCCTCTCTGCTGTTCCCGACAGCTGTTCGGCGCTAGAGTCAGGCTGTTCCCATGTTAGGAGTGGGGCTCTACTCGGTCTTACTACTAGGTAAGTGACTACGCTGGGAGGGACGGTTTGCTGGACATGCACCAGGCGTAAAAGATGACCCCCCCACTTGGAGGCATGTTTTTCAGGGCCAAAAAGTCGTCTTGTACGCTGGCAAATAGGGTAGACCCAGTCATTTATTTTGGCTAACTGCCTATGCCTTTGGGGGGGGGGACATCTGGCTTTCGTTAGTCAACCCAGGAATTCTTACTGCATTACACGTTATAGAGAATTGTAGCTGAAAACCCCCCAACAGATGTTTCATGTTATTGTTTCTACTTGTCTGGAACAGAACGGATGAAATATTGGAATTTGTTAAAATTTGGGTCAAATAATTGTTTCTGCAGTTAGGGTGTCACCTGCTCTTGGACACACATTAAAACAATTTTTCACAGATGGCTAAATGTTGCTGTTTGGTCATTGCTGAAACTGGTCACCTGTTCATTTGAAAATGAGGTGCCACTGATGGAGAACAGTCTTCCAGTTTGTTAATTTCCCAGCCCTTGAGTATAAAGAAGCAGATGCAAACCCATAATTTGTAGCCCTTCCCTGATTACTGGTTTTATGTTCTGGTGGACTTAGTTGCAGGTCTTATGGTTTACTGCTTAAAAACGTGACTTGACATTTGTTTTTCTAGTTATATTTTCAATACAGCCCCTGACTGCCTTATACGGACAGTTCAGCTGAGGAGATTTAACATTTGCTCTGACCAGGAAGACGGACACTAGTGGCGATCAGTCAGAAATTCTGCAGTCTAGACATCTCGCTTCACTGTCACTATTGATCAAATCTGGAGTCAGACATTATGCCTGAACAGTGGCAGGGTAGGACTTGGTGTTGTAAAGCAGGAGTTGCAATAACAGGCACCTCTTACACGCTCACCACTTCCATGTATGATCACGAGCTCTGCCTTACATTGGGAGCACCTCTGCAAACTTCTCCCATTTGACTCCTTAAACCTAAATTATGAATAAGCTTGAGGATATACAGTATTTATCAGCCTGCAAGTTTGAGCACAAGAATAGAGTGAAGGGAAACGCCCCTGATTTCTGTGGAGACACAGTCCCCTTTTTCAGGTTATCCTTGTACTAGGTAAGGTTGTACACTATTTGGTACAATCTTGCAGTTTGTCGTTTAGTCGTGTCCGACTTTGACCCCATGGACCAGAGCATGCCAAGCCCTCCTGTCTTCCACTGCCTCCCGGAGTTGGGTCAAATTCATGTTGGTAGCTTCGATGACACTGTCCAGCCATCTCGTCCTCTATCGTCCCCTTCTCTTGCCTTCTTGCAGTTAGGGAACAGTAATTCCATCTTTGAATGGAAACTGCCTTACTAAAACAAGCTGAATTCTCACAAATTAAAATAAAGGTCAGTTTTTATTATAAATAACAGTGATACAAAAATCAAGTGTATATGTTAAAATATACTTTGGGCTAAAAAGCCATTATTAGAAAACACAAGTTAGTCTTTACAGTTTTGGACATTTCAACAAATTACCCAAGCTGAATATAAATTATATCAAGCCTTAAATACATTATTTAATATATTCACGAGGGTGGTCTGTAGTTTGTTTTTAATTTCAAATATCTTCCTTCTTCATTGCCATCTCTTCCTTTTGCTCATTAGCCTAGCTTTTCACATTGGCTTTTCTAGCTCGTAGTTTTTCCAATGTTTTCTGCAGGGGTGGTGGTGGGGGGTGGAAGAGAAGTACAAAGTGAAGCAAATCAGGGCCTCCCTGGGCCAGATATCATTGGGGTGTATGACCATGGTTCCTTATGCCACCCAGCCCACAGTAACCTGCCTCTTCCTTCAACATACTTTCCTACGCCCCACTGAAACCGCTTTTCTTTCCATTTGCTTTCCCTACTCGAAGGGCAGATGGCCAGCAAATCTACTTCAAAAAAGAACTAGGAAGTAGAAGAGGCACCAATACCACATTGCAAGCATTTTTACCTTTTGAAACTCCTTTGCTTTCTCGCGGTTTTTGGCATAATTGTCTTGCCGCTCCTTCTCTTCCCTTCTGGTTTTCACTTCTGCTAGATTATTGTATAATCTGGCAAACAGAAAAAGATACAGTACTTTATCAGCTAGCTACCTGAGAAGCTCTTCACAGTCTGTTGGCTAGCCAATAAAACAAGCAAATGAAGCACATGATGGATGTAGCATCTTATAGGATTACAAGGTAAAAACAGTGGAATCTAGGCAATAAAACTAACACTTTGAGGCAAACAAAAGGAATCCATGATTACCCCATCATCTTTTTCTACAGCAACATGTTACTATATCAAGTCATGGTTTCAAATACACAACTTTTTTTAATTAAAAGATCTGCTTGAGACAGCTATCTATAGAATCTTAAGCAGTATTAACCATGGGAACAAAATGGGACCTTGGATTCACAGGCTGCTGAACCTGGGGAAAACAAAACTTTTGTAGGCAGGCACCAAACCCAGTGAAGTCACATTCCTTATGTCCTGATTAGTCAAAGATGGCAAGAGACAGGATAAGTCATAACTAAACCTTGTTTATCATAAAACAGTTGCGCTAGTAAATGCAAGAAGCTTACAGCCAGCATGGATGACTATATTTCTTACATTCCAGTTTTGTTTCTTGAGTTGCATGGTGCAGCTAAAACACACCTCTCTTCAGACACAGACTCTCAATTACCAAATCTGCTAAATTCTTGCTGGACTAGGCTGCCCAGTATACCTTGAAGTACGCTGGAGCATTTGTAATTCCACCATCTTCCTGTCTGCGGCAGAGCACACTTTCACTTCTACTTTTTTCAAATGACCAGCAGCTGCACCTTAATATAATAAGAACATGTTAAATTCAACTAAGCCTGTGCAACCAGTTGTGCAGGCTTCTGAAGATTTACAAGACACTGTTCTGCTATTATTTGCATACTGCAAAGGTTATACGTCAAGCAACAACTGCTCTTAGGAATTTGCAAGAGACAGAAGATACCCAGCAAGGGACTACCGGAGTATTTGGATTTTAACCCACACAATCATTAAGAATTTGGGATGGAAAAAGCCTATTTCTAAAAGCCACTTTGAGCAGATCAGTGTTTAGAAAGGATATGTTCTTAGGACCAAATAGCACAAGCAAAAAAACACTGCTGTTTATTGCACTGCATGAAATGTTTCTCTCCATCTCACAGTTCTGACTGCTGATAGGTTTACCCTTAGGTGGCGAGTTCTCTTTAGGGTTCCGAAGTTGTGTGTTTTTCTGTTGAGACACCTTAGCTTGAGGCTTTCGAGAACTCTGCGATCTACTTTTGAGGTTTTCTAGTCTTTTAGTGGATCTTTCAATGAAATCTTTCTTCCGCTTCAAAAATGACTCTTGCAAGCTTGCAAACGGGAGCACTGGCAACACTACTGGTTAGGGAAGAGAAGAACAAGCTGTGAGCCCAGCAGAATGCAGTTTTTAATAAAAATCTGACCATTTTCACAGATCATAAACTGAGACATATTCAGAAAAAATTGTTACATTGTAATGTTAAGTGGAGAGATCCTGTACATACTACATTTTATTTTAAATAGCAATAGAAATGAATGAATGATGACATTTTTGTAGCTTTCTGGCTTATACATGATCTAGCACAATGCTAGGAACAGAGATGGTTCCATTATTAGTTCTCCAATATTTTATTCAAGCTTGGCAGTTTTAAAGACGGACAACTTGCCTTAGTCATTACAAGTTGCTCCTTTAGCTCCTTTACTTTTGCATACCTACCCTCTGGTTTGGGTTTCTGACTCCAGTCCTCTTCTGAGATGTGAGCTGCAGGTGGATTATCAGGCTGAGTGGAAATGGAATTGTCTACTTCTGGATTTAATAGTAAAAATCCTTTGCTCTGTTAAAAGAATTATAGGTTGTGATAAGTGTGCAAAATGTAAAAGAAACATAAGAGAAGTAGAAATTGCTTTTCATTTGAAATTTACTATTGTGACATGTGAATCTGAGTAGAAAAGTGGCAGAAACGTTGCTGATTTGAACAGAACTCAAACTTTTTGGAAATTGCTTTTCATTTGAAACTATTGTGACATGTGAATCGGAGTAGAAAAGTGGCAGAAACATTGCTGATTTGAACAGAACTCAAACTTTTTTACAGAGTAGTAAAAGAAACTGGTGGGCAGGAGCAGCCTCAACACGCATGGCTTTCCAGCAGCCTGACTGTAGAAACTAATTCAACAGCCTAATTGTGGATTCCTAGAAGCCATCACTTCTACTCTATCTGTCCAGGGCAACATAGAGCAACAGTTTTTTACAAGTCTCGGCAGCCACATTCAGCTTCTGAGGGTACAAAAATCTAATTATAAAAAGGTTTCATCTCACAAGAACCACTAACCTCAGAATGGTGACCACAGGCCGGGCTTTTATTTTTCTCCTTTTCACCACCTGTTTGGCTATGAAGTTCCAGATCTGATTCTGCAATGCTGATGTCACTGGAGCTTATTAGAGTCAACTCAGGTTCCTCCATAATACCTCTCCCTGAAAGTTTTTCCTAGAAAATAAGTTACAGAAGTTAACATAAGCATAAATAATAAATTCAGTATTTCAAACAAAAGCACCATCTGTTCATCTATTGAAGAAGGCACAAACCAATGAAAGCAAACACAAGATTCAAGAACACAAGACTTAGCCTTGTTACAGATCCTACCACTAAGACTAAGATTACATTACGTTGACAATATTGCTCCACAAATAGCATGGGTGAATTTGAAGCATTTTTCAGTGATCATATACAGTGGTGCCTTAACTTAAGAACTTAATCCGTATTGGAACGGTGGCTGTAAGTCAAAACGTTCGTAAGTCAAAGCAGCATTTCCCAAAGGAATGCACTGAAATCCGATCAATCCGTTCTGGCTGTTTTTTGTCCTTATGTCAAGGCACGGTTCGTAAGTCGGTTAATCCATATCCTACAACTAGGGGGAGAACTTTTTCTTCTTCTTTTGACCTAAGATGAACTTAGGTCAAAAAAAAAGGGGCAGGAACGGGTTGTTGTTTTTTTGTTCGTAAGTCAAAGTTCTGTTTGTAACGCAAAGCAATATTTTGCAGCCGGAGCTGTTCGTAACTCAAAACGTTTGTAGGTCAGGGCGTTTGTAAGTCAAGGCACCACTGTAATGCAAAGGCCAACGTGAATCAGACCGACCCTTTTGGATTCCAAGTCATATCTTTCCCTCTGCCATTGTGAGCTACTACTGTATTTTTGTCAAGCTGGAATGATCCGAAAGGTGTTTTCCTGTGTGACCATTTGTTTTGTTCTTCAAAAGGACAGGCTGCGTGACTCCGGGTAATGTTATGGTAATGTATTACACTAAGGCAAGATGTTTTGGAACTGTGGGAACACCCACCCTGATGATATTTCGCAACTAGTGGCCCAAAGTATTTTTTTAAAAACTAACCACCAAGTTTAGCACTAAATCACTGTATCATGGTATTGATATATTCATGAGCTTAGCGCTAGCACACCTCTGCATAGACAAAAGAAGAAGATATAAAATGACATCCAGGATCTTCCAAGTGGGTCGTATCAAAGGATAATATCAAATCGGAATGGATTGAGGGCCAGTGTGGACACTGGCACTGGAATGGACTGAGGGCCAGTGTGGACACTGGCACTGAAATAATCTGGGTTCTTTGTGTGACCTCGTAAACTGAATACTGTACAATCAGCTCAGTTTCATCTTGACAATGTAGTCACACCCTCTGGGAGGTGACATCTGTGGAACATCCTGACTCAAGCACTTCCTTCCAGGTGGCACACCTTTCTTATTTAATTACAGATTACCATTTGAATTATTTAAAGTTTATCTTGCATTTTCCTGGTATTTCAGTTATTTTAAATACAACCATTTTTAAAGATACTTCTTTCTTTTTAAAATTTACTTAGCATGTTGCCTATGCTCTATAACGCAGGATGGATAAATGTTTCAAAATTTAGAAGGTTAAGAAATAAGGCAAAAGATCTGTGTTGCCCACCTATGTTCAAGTTCAATACCCATGCAGCATGATTTAAACAGTATCATAAAGTTGCTTGGTAGAAGCAAGACCTATTGATCTCTTAACCCTTCTTAAAAAAAAAATTCACTCACCCAGACTGGTAAAGTTTGTGATGAATGGGGATCTGGGATTTTAAGTAGCAGAGTATTCTGATCTGGTTGTTGAACAGTATTTAGCTCACAGCTGCTTTGCAGTTCAGAATTTTCTACTAGACTGGTGGAAATTTTCAAATCCGCTTCTTGAGGCAAGCTCAGCATCCTGTCTGTACTTAGAGAACTCTGTTCTCCCACACTAGGTAAAGGACACTGGAAAAGACCAATGTCTACATCCTCACTTCCCATTACAATTTCTTGCTTCCCCTCACTTGATGCAGAGGGTAGTTCGACAAAGCACAGGTTCTCTTCTCTAGAAGAAACATCTTCTTTCAGTGACTCTGTCATCTTAAGAGCATCCTTCACAGAGCTATCATCTGGAACCAACCGATAAAATGAGTGCTCATCTTCTCCTGGACTCAGGCTACGGAAGTTTTCAATGGAAGAAGAGAGACTGACATTCTCATCGCCTTCTTGCTCCTTGTTGTGTGCACTCGCCACTGAAACTGACAAATCCTGAACAGATTTTCCCATTTCAAGGCTCTGTTTAGGCACAATGCTAAAAGTGCTAGTTTTATCTTGTCTAAGTTCACTCAGTGGAGATTCCACAGGGGGGTGTCCAAAGAATTCTTCAGCACCTGGTTGAATAAATGACAAGTTTAAAAAAATTCTGTTTACATGTTTGATCAAAGTCGTGTAGAAACTCCCAAATTACAGAAGGGAAGTCACTAAAAAAGCTAATCGAAACAGATTGCTCCCCATAAACACCAAACAACTACCTTGCGTTTTGTCTTTTTTCTCACAAGTATGTTCCACTGGCAGAATATTGCTTAGTTCTTCTCTGCTGCTGTTTCTTTCTTCAAGGCTGGAAGCTGTTAACTCATTACGACTCTTAGAGAAGTCTGATTTCTAAGGACATAAAAAGTGCAGGAAGGAGGGAGAAATCAAAATGTGCTACACCTACAGGTACAGTGGTGACCCGCTTAACGATTACCCCACTCCACAACAAAATTGCTTAACAATGAGGTTTTTGCGATTGCAATAGCGATTGCAAAACAATGTTTAAATAGGTAAAATCTGCTTGACGATGATCGGTTCCCTGCTTCGGGAACCGATTTTTCGCTTTACAATGATCAAAACAGCTGATCTTCGGATGTTCAAAATGGCTCCCCACTGTGTTTAGGGCAGATTTTTCGCTTTACAGGGACCGGGAAATGGCCACCCTATGGAGGATCTTTGTTGGACGCTGAGGTATTTCACCCATTGGAATGCACTGAGCGGTTTTCAATGCATTTCAATTGGCTTTTTACTTTCACTTGACAATGATTTCATTCTACAGCGATTTTGCTGGAATGGATTATCATCATATAGCGAGGCACCACTGTACTTCAATAACTGAGAAGATTTAACATTTATTTTTATGTAGCATTTCTGTGAAAAGGCAAGTGACCCCACTGCAAGAGCTAAGTGGTTGCTATAACATCTATTAAATCACTCTAGCTGGAACCTTACATGGCTAAATTCAGGTTCAGAAAAGTTGCTGAGCTGCATTCTACGATAAGTTCAAAGGCAAAGGGATATGACAAAAATATCATTGCATGTTAGCTTAAAGCTATAAGTAGCTAAGCTTTAAGAGACGTATTTCAACATTTTAGCTAAGGAAAAAAACTGCATAAAAGCTGGGAAACCAACTGATGACGTCATGGGGAAGGGAGGGGGGTGTCCATTTGAGAAAACCCAGAGGGCTGGATCTGGCCCCTGGGCCTGAGGTTTCCCACCCTGTTCTACAAAAGCCAATGGATTCCCCTCTGTTTTAAAATACCTTGCTGTCGAGTGATATCCTACACTGGGAATGGCTTGAGAAGATGTTGAGGTCAGGGACTGGTTCCAGAGGCTGAAAAAGCTCACGATGAAAATTCGGAAAATTTCTTTCCATATCAGGAAAATATGGTCCTACTACTGGATCTTTTGTTAAAAGAGATGTAAAAGCATTTTGATCAGTACCAAACTTCATATTTTACAGTTACACATCAAACATATTGTTTAGTAATGGTGCAGCAGGTACATTTACAAATACACTTCCAGAGCTTTTTCATCCTGAAAGTTGATATTCCAGGTCAAACCCCACTCACTCAGCAGGATCTCAACAGCAATGATTAGGCCCCAAAGGACTCAGTCAATATACACAGTTATATACAAAGTTATTTAGAGAATTTCTAACCAACAGCAAGTTTTATGATAATTATAGCAATAGCCACAAACATATTCCTAGACTGGTACCCCAACCCATCAGCTATACAACTAGGAACGGGATATTTGGACTACTCAAGAATGACAGAGCAGATAAGTGTTTAACAGATACAGAATCCCTCCCTTCTGATTTTTTTTTGCTGTTTTGCCATTTTCTGGTAGTGTTACCGTGGGATATGTTGCTCAGAGATGACCAGCTGAACTCTCTTGAGTCCTTGTCTATGATTTTCTGAATGTTGCTGTCATTTGAGTGCAGCATTTCTCCAAAAGACGGAGAGGAATGAGGAAATTGGGAAGGAGCTTCCTGATCATTTGGTAGAGAAACTGGCAGATCCCAGGCATCATTTGTCTTCTCTTCCGCCGGGGAGCTGAAATGTCTGGACTGTTCATTAGCTGAAGACGGTTCTGCAAGATACACCCCCATTGCTCACTTTTGCAAAAGAATCCATTCAAAAACAGATGCCTCTGGCGGCAGCTAGTTTAAAACACACCCTGGAATATGGAGGGAGTGCTGAACTTTCAGGTTAGATACAGCCATTGTAGCATATAAATAAAAATACTGGCTCGTTATACTAAACAAGGAAATGAATGCAAGAAAATGTACCTGTGCTGACTAGACTTCTGTTTGGATTGTAACTGGTTATAAAGCTGGCAGTGGAAAGAGTGGCTGAAGAGAGATAGCCGCAGGCTACCTGCTGCGTACGGGTCTGTGGACTTAATGAATCAGGGGACCAGGCTGGAGCAAGCACTACCTAGGGCAAAAATGCATGTGTAACGTTATCATGAAAATGCCATAAACCTCAGTGCTCCAAAGCATAATGTCATTTGTTCTGAGCTCAGTTCAAGTGTAGAAACCTCCATGTATACACCTGTCAGGACATGTCAGGTTCATCACTGCTCAGTACAAGCTCTCCCATTCTGTCCCCATACACACATACACACACACACACACACACACACAAAGTTCCACCTGCATATTCACTCGCCAATTACACAATGCAAAACGGCACACACCTCCACACACTCAGAGTCAGACTTGAATTGCTTCCCAGAATAGTATACAGATCATGCACCATTGAGACCAGCTGATCTTTCCGGTGCTCAGATTTGGCTACTTCTCATCACAGAGCCACTGAATAAGAAGCTCTCAGAGGGACACCAAAGCAATTCATGACACCTCCACGGCTCTTTACAATCTGTGCCTATTCCAACCTTATGCAAGGAAAAGCCATTCAAACTTCCCCATATATATATTGAAAAACGAAGGGTGAATAATGCTTTTATATATTGTAAAGGAGGTTAAAAATTTAACACTTCAGATCAATAATACTTAAATTCCACTGAATAAGAAGCTCTCAGAGGGACACCAAAGCAATTCATGACACCTCCACGGCTCTTTACAATCTGTGCCTATTCCAACCTTATGCAAGGAAAAGCTGTTCAAACTTCCTTGTATTGAAAAACGAAGGGTGAATAATGCTTTTATATATTGTAAAGGAGGTTAAAAATTTAACACTTCAGATCAATAATACTTAATTTCCACATCAATTTTGTTTGAAATTAATGCTATGTATCCCGTACTATCTTACATCCCAGATGCGACTAACCATATTATTTGGACTAAATGAAGGGTCAGGATGTGTCGCTCTTCTCCTTCCAGCATCGATGGCATGACTTGGTAAACCGGGATCCGTAAGAGGAACTTCCCTAGACTTGGCTGAATATAGTAAATAAATAGATAAAGAAGCATGGATTTGTACAGAGAACATTTAGGAAGCCATTATATATTTGGAGCTTTTAAAAACAAGGCTTTATTCTACTAACACTATCCCATTTGTTGATTTCTACTAAAGCAAAAGCATGCTGCTTATATATTGCCCTATAATGCTTAAAGCGGCCTCTGAGCGATTAACAATTATGAAGGCTACACATTCCCCACCCCAGGCAAGCTGGGTAGTTCGTTTGCCGACCTCAGAAAGATGGAAGACTGAGTGAACCTTGAGCCAGCTACCTGAGATTGAACCCGGGTTGTGAGCAGAGTCTTGGCTGCAGTACCGCCGTTTAACCACTGCCTCGCAAGGCTCTCTACTCAGTTTATTCCCACCCCACCCCAGCAAGCTGGGTAGTTAGTTTGCCGACCTCAGAAAGATGGAAGGCTGGAGTGAACCTTGAGCCAGCTACCTGGGATTGAACCTTGGCTGCACTACTGCAGTTTAACCACAGCATCACAAGGCTCTCTACTCAGTTTATATGTATCACAGGATACAGGCCCTACTCCTGTTTAGTCTGCGCCTGCGCTGACATTCTCGCCGTTTAACCACTGCCTCGCAAGGCTCTCTACTCAGTTTATATGTAACACAGGATACAGGCCCGACTCCTGTTTCACATTCTATAATCTTATTCTAATGCATTTCAGTCTTCTGAAATGCCAGCTACCCTCCAGAATCTGACTATGTTCAAGCATTTTAAATGATTTATGGCACAATAAAAGAAAATTACTTTTCCTTAAAAGACAAAAGACTTGGCTTGAACATGTTCTATTAACTGATGACTACGCCATGGTCTTGACAAGCTGATTTTACAAAGCAGTATTAAAATGACTAAATCTATAAATCTAAAAGAAAATATATTTTACAGATGGTATGTAACACCAGAGAAATTAACAAAAATGTATACAAATGTTTCTAATAAGAGTTGGAAATGTGCAGAGAAAGTAGGGAGCTTCTATCATATGTGGTGGATGTGCAGTAGGATCAAGGACTTTTGGAAAATGATTCGTGAAATTATAGAGAAAAATTTAGGGGTTAAAATTAAAGAACCAAAAAAGGGAGAAAAATATTTAAATATTGATTTTATTTGTTCTAATTTTTTTGAATAAATGTTTAAAACATGTTTTTTTTAAAAATTGATTTTACAAAACAGAGACCCCTAAATAAATGCCTTCAGCTCTAGAAACTTCTATTTCTTTTTATTATGTTCCTGACTGTACCACACTTTCTCAGCATCTCATGGAGAAGTACTGAAGACAACTTTGCAACTGCCTCCTCTTTCCAGAAGTGTTGTTACAATGTCTTAGATGTTAATAGCCAAGATGAAAAAGTTCCAAATATTGTTGGAAACAGTATACTGGCAGGGTTCCACAGAGAAATGTGAGGGGAGAGGAGAAGGAGGGTGAATTTAGCTATGACTACCAACTATAGCTATAACTAGTCATGTTTCAAAAGTCCTGCCAACCTAGCAGTTCGAAAGCATGTAAAATGCGAGTAGATAAATAGGTACCACCACGGTGGAAGGTAACGACATTCTGTGTCTCATCGCACTGGCCACGTGGTGTCTCATTGCACTGGCCACGTGACCACGGAAACTGTCTACGGACAAACGCTGGCTCTGTGTTTTGAAAACGGGGATGAACACCGCGCCCTAGAGTTGGACACGACTGGACTAAATGTCGAGGGGAACCTTTACCTTTACCAACCACAGCCATAACTAGTCACGTTTCAAAAGGTAACCCTCCTCACCTGAGTCTGACAAACCAACAGCTTCTGTCGCTGATCTCTCTTGCCATGATTCATGTAACTGTTCCAGACTTCCACTAGAACTCTGCCTCTCGGCTGTAATTCTTAACATATCTGCTTCTTCACAGAGAGAGTCATATGGACTCGACGGCTCTGCATCAACATTAGAAGTGAGGAAAATGTCTTCAGTCAGAAATTCTCCACAACCTGAAACATTCAGTTGCCAGTTATTAGAAGAAGGATCGTCCACTTAGTGGAAGCATTTAGAAGTTTCATTTTAATCAGGAAACACATTTATTTTCTGAGTCTAACAACAACAAAGAATTCCTTCAGAAAGCAGACTTCTCATTTATTTCTCAGACCAGCCAGCTTTTGTAGTGGCAACATCACACTGTCCTAGCTTTCCCCAAGCCCTATTTAAAAATGGAAGATATTAATTTTTCACTTAAGTGGAAACAGCTGGAGTTTTCCTTCAGCCTTATAGTTTTTTCCTCAAAGGGAAAATAGTCAGAAACCCTGGAGCAAAACAACACACTTCCCAAACACACACACACACACATGCACGCACACAAGCGCTGAAATCCTGTTGTCTAGCATAATAAAAATTGCAACATTCAGTCCCTGCAGCCATAGTTCTCAGTTAATGAGAACAGGGTGGAATGGAAAGCAGGATGTATCATTCTTTCTCTCGGTTTCTTGCAGGATTAGGGAAGATGGGATGATCTATCCTTACAACAGAAGCAGGGAGAGCTGCACCACAGAGTAGAAAGATACCAGAGGTAAGCATTTCTGATTTAACATCCCACTTTTACAATGTACCTGTAGTGGAAAGGTTGCCACTTCTTGGCGTGTCAAGCTCTGGTATAACACTAAGTTCGTGCTGTTCCAAATCAAGCCCTAGCTTTACTTTTGCCAACGGGGGTTTTGAAAGCTTCCATTTCTGTTCTCTTCCCCAGATGCTATAAAACGGTTCTGTAAGGCAAGCATAAATTGAGGTGGTCAGGTGATCACGGAACAAAGGAAGGCTAATGATGTGGGTGATCACGGAGCAATAGGAAGGCAATTAGCCTTAGAGACAAAGAAGTTGACCAGAGATGTGGGAACCAGCAGAGCCTCAAGCAACGCCTTGAGAACTCTACTTATTAACTTAGCACAATTGCACAGAATGTTGTGAGAACTTAGATAGGACACTAGTTACCTAATCGCCACTAGGATTGGCTGCAGAAACCCTTTAATCTATTGCTCTAACTCTAAGCAGAATGGCAGAATGAGAGGTCACCTGCCCGCTGGGAGCTGCTGCTTCTGTCAGGAGTGTTTGCACTCACTGAAACAGATAAGAACTAACAGCCTTGGGTAGGATTTTCCCATAAGGAGGAACCTGTGTGTCAGAATAGCTAAAGGAACTGTGGACGAAGAGATACCCAATTAAAAGTCTCGCCTCTACTCACTAGTGTTTGGAAAACTACCAGTTTTATAACAAGAGGTCAAGAATACCGATCTGTAAGGATAAATGTTATAATTTGCTAAATCTGAAATGGCTATTTCCCTTATTCCAAAAGGCTTAGGCAGGTCTCTATGAAGCTGTTTTCCCCTTTGAATACCAGTTCTTTGTGTTATATCATGAACCAAAACCAAATAAGCATCTCACTCCCCCTGCTCAGGTGTGTAGCAGCAGGTATGTTTCTTTGGAGACAGGTCGATATACTGTACATCAAGAACTCTGAGCTGTACATACTGCTTTCCTATCTTTTCTTCAAGAATCAGCACATTTTCAACTGAGTCAATATGAAGTAAACATAGCAACAGAGAGAGGGAAAGAGAGAGATCAGTCTGACATGCCTGATTTTGCAAAAGGCCCTTACCAATCTGTTCTTCTGAACCGACAGTTTGGAACAAGAAGTTTTTCTCGGCATGTCTGTTCATATTACCACAGCGAGTTTCTTCTTGATGGTCATCTTCTGCTTCTTTACAAAGTGATGCCAATAGGCTGAAGCTATTAGTCTCTTGTGCTTCTTGGGTCATCTCTTTACACATATTTGACTGTCTTGCCTATAGAAAGAAATTAAGAACTAGCTAACCAAAGCACTTTCTAAACTTTAAGATGTCAGCTTTAAAATACATGATCAGCACAACCGTATGGCTCTTTGCTCTGAAATACATTCTGCACGTTTTAAAGGGATTTACTCCCAGGGAAGTGAACCTATGTATGCAGCAGATGGATATAGGAGTTGCTTTTTACTTAACCCATTTCTCCAAGACTGCTATCTGCTTTGCTTGGCAAAAACTCTCTCCAAGGCAGAGTAGAAATACATTGACTGAAGATGCCAAATTTTTGAACCAGTGGTTTGCAAAAAGCAAAGGAATGGTTCTGCCTCCATGATAGGTATTTTAATACTGTTACTGTGATATTTCAGACAGTTTGATTACAGCATGTGCCACTAAATTCAGCAGACCTCACTCTTAAATTTGCACAGGTGTTAACACTGATAAACAGAATTAAAGAATTCAACACGATTACCTTATCTGTTCACTAGGGATGGGCATGAACTGCTGTTCAGTGAGGCACCCACACAGGCGTCCTGTAGAGGCCACACACCTCGCTCCCCCGTGTGATTGCGCAATTCCCTCCTCTGCGCGATTGTCTACTCAGATGAGGAGGCGAGACAGGGAAGCCTGTGGCACTACCCATGAGTGGATGATCCCACTGAGAAGGCAGAGGAAGGAAGTGTGCTGATGATGATGACTGGGTGATTGCACAGAGGAGGCTCGGAAGGGAAGCACGTGGCACCTGCAGAACACCTATGCGGGCACAGTGGTACACCAGGCCCAACCACAGTTTGTGCCCATCTCTATTGCTTATCCGAATTTTGTTACAAGGATATTACATTTTTTAGCGATTTTTGCATATTGCCTATTTGCCCAATGCTTCCATGGCCAAATAAGAAAACTATACTTTTTTCTTGCTCCATTGTTTCTAGTTTTATCTTTTTTCCATGAGCAAAAAATTGAGTAAATTGAACACATGCTGCAGCACAGCCATTTTTAATCCGGTTATACTGACTGTATTTGCCATTATTACTGCAATAAGTTGAAGGCATTTCAATAATTAAAATGTAATGAATATAACAAAAATAACAGTAATTTCATTGGCTAAATTACAGGCATTTTGCCTTCTCAAAATAGCACACGTCTGGCAGGAAAGTACTGAATATGCTCCAGTATTTTCCAAACACAAAAGCTTTCTAAAGAAAAAAGAATCACACAGGGGTATGCGCTAAACAACCTTCCTCACGATGACGTCACAATTTCCAGCAGTGTTGTCATTAGACAAGAGTCAAATGCACTAATGCAGGGAAAGCGCAATGCTTACTCAATTTTAAGCTAAGCAATCACGCTAGAAATGGAGTGGAATTTTAAAATCCTCATTAACAATCTGGGGGAAAAAAGAATTAATATGTTTTCACACTGATTTAGCCTGGATCCTTGCTTGGCATGCCTTTGAAAGCATACCCGTTTCAGAAACTCTTTTAAGGCCTCTTGCTGTTGCTCCATCTGTTGCTTCAGCTGAGAATGCTTCTGCATGAGCAGGTCCTCCTGGATCCTTTGCCGAGAAAGAAGAGCTTCCCGTTGCTCGTCGAGTTGCTCCTGCAGTTCCTTCAAGTGCTCTTGTTGAGCTTGGATGCTCTCGGAGGAAGCTAACATTCTGTCCCTTAATTCCATAACATCAGAATAAGTGGACGAGCATCCAATTTCGTCTCTCGCTGCCAAAGGCTCCTGGGTTTTCTCTACATTGCTCGCTTTGGAAGAAAGCATCGAAGAGACAGGCTGCAATAGAAGGTGTGTTTGATCAAGGGCGGTGCTTCTCTTACTCTCAGCAGGAATGTGTTGGGTCACTGAGGACGTTGGCAGGTGAGTCTTTTCTGCCAAAGGAGCATGAGGTGCCAATTTATCGGACCAAAGTTTTTCTGAAAAGCCAGAAGAATTGTCTGCAGACAAAGTGAACTGGGAACCTTGTGCAAAAGCTACTGGTTGAGTTATAACAGACGTATCCTGTAATCTGACTACTGATGATCCCACCATTCCATGACAGTCCATCGGCTGCGTTGTGGATGTCTCTACTGCACCCAGGTTCTCTTTCTGTTTAGAAGAATGTGTCAACGGAAACGTTCTTTGATGCACCTGGGTATACTCAGGCTGGACCTGCCCCACATGGCCAACATCGAGGCTCTGCTCTTTTGCTTTCTGCCCCAATGACACTTTTGAAGACTCAGCTGGCTCTTGTGCAGGAGCGTGCCTTGATGGAGGAGCTGCTGTAAGATTAACTTTCTGCAATATATCAAATCCTTGTAATCGTGACTGTAATTCAGGAATAGAATTTAGTTTTGCAAGTCCGTCACCAGGGCCCAGCAGTGCTGCAGAAACATATTTGTATCTCTGTTTTAGCTTCGCCTGATATTCATGCAAACGTTTCCTGGCTTCTTCAACTGACTCTCTGTGCATCCTAAAACAATATACATGCATTTATTTATTATCTAAAAATAAAATACTTTCCAGGAGCAGAATATCATTCTAACTCCTACAACAGTATTAAATAGACACTTCCAAACCTTCCACCTCACGGAAATTAAAAATACCTGTTTTGCTCTAGAAGACGCTGCTGATAGTCACGAATCATCTGCATATGGTCATTTTCTTTATAGCTGCTGTCTGCCTGGAATCCTCTGGTACCTTCAGACTAAAGAGAAGCTAAATGAAGTTAGTATCAAAAGTTATTGAAATGAACTTTGAATAGTAGTTCTATAATACACATATTTGTTTTAAAGTCAGCATGTCTTAAAACAACATTGTTTATTGGGAAATGAGCATTTAGAGCTTGCTACAGCCTGCTACCTTTATCTGATCATTATCTATCTATTTTGTCCTTACACACGGTAATTGCGAAAATGTGAAATTTTGTGTGTATAGGTATAGGGGGTTAAAATAATTAAGGAGTGTGTGGAAAAAGTAACCCTGAAAATGAAAGTGCTAAAAAAGAGAGAGGCTTGAACAATAATTTACTAAAGTCACTGCAAAACAATTAACCAACTTTCCAGCTGAACAAGGTCACAGTACCATAACATTCCTGCCAGTTAAATGTGTTTTACAAATTATAACAAAGCACAAACAATGTTAATCTATACAGTGGTGCCACGCTAGACGCTGACCCCACATGACGTCAAAATCGCTTAACAATGACTTTTTTGCAATAGCTATTGCGTTCGCAAAACAATGGTTCCAATGGGGGAAATCCGCATTACGTTGATTAGGAGCCTGCTTCGCGAACCATTTGTTCACTATACAACTATTTTTCCGGTTCCGCAAAATGGCTTCCCTCCCTTTGCAAAATGGCTGCTTTCCAGACCCCTGCTTTGGAAAACAGCGACTTTTAACAGCTGATCAGCGGTTCTCTATGGACTGATTGGTGGTTCTTTATGGGCAGTCTTTGCTGGATGATGAGGTATTTCCCCATTGGAACGCATTGACTGGTTTTCAATGCATTCCAATAGTGTTTTTTTTGCTTGACGATGATTTTGCTTAACAGCGAAATTCCTGGAACGGATTATCGTCGTCAAGCGGAAAATTCCTGGAACGGATTCTCGTCGTCAAGCGGGGCACACTGTATTAGTGTATATAGGGTCTGCTACTATCTGCAGTTTCAGACATTTGCAGTAGGTTTTGGAATGTACCACCCAAAGATGAGGGAAGGGACTCCTGTAAATGCATTTCTGCACAAATGCGTTGCACTAATCAGCAACTCTACATACCTATATCAATTAATTTGTTCAATTCTTCTCCACAGCTGTTCTTTGTGCTAGAGAAAAGCACTGCTATGCACAAAGGGGGGGATAATCAGAGGGATGGGAAATCCCAGTATTTGGAGATACATCAATTTCCATTAAAAAAACTTAGTTGGGGAAATCTAAACAGCCTAAGGAGGGTGGAGAATAATACCAAATAGCTACAGAATGCTGAAGGGGTTGGGAGCTGCCAAAAACTGGAATATGTCCCCCGAAAAGGGAGTGCTGTAGAAGATGTCATTATTCTTTGGCTTGGACCCTGCACTCTGCACTGCAACATTAAAATTTTAATTTACTTAGGACAAAATTGTTTAATTTTAAGCACATTTGTGTAGATTTCGCTTTTGTAGTTATGAAGTATACAAGACCACACATCTGACTGTTAACTGAATTATTATTATCCATGATTTCTCTTTTTTTGTTTCAATTGTATTTTGTAAGCAAGACTAGAATTTCTTTATCAAATAATCTCAAGGGATTTTTTTTTTTGAAATAAATAAAATTGTTTAGTGGCTATCCAGCTAGTTTAAAAAAAGATAGCATTATACCAGGGAGATTCAACTATAATTCCATTCAGCATGAAAAATCACTTCTATTTTCAGACCATATTTTCTGCTTTTACTTTATGCTCTGCTTCCTGCTGCTTCAGACCCACAGGGATAATACCATCCATCTGTACTGTCTGGGATTCTTGGCCTTTCTTCTCTTGTTCTTTTTTAACTTCCTGCTGCTGCATTTCAGCCTTCAAAACATCAACTTCCAGACGTATTTTCTGCTCTTCAATATGTTGCAGTAATGTTAGTTGCTGTTGCTTCTGGTGCTCTAACCACTCCATCTAGTCAAATAAATAGGAATTATTTTTGTTATGGTCAGGAGGAACCCATAGATACAAATAACATGTTTATATTAAGTAATTTTTGGGGGCAACAGATTGACACTTTTTAATGAGTACTAATTCGGATGTGTTACTGAAAAGTTTTGACACAGGAGTAACATGAGCAAAATCCAGTCATTCAGCAAAAAAAAAATTAATGAAATCTTCACTACAACTCCTGCAAATGAACTACTGCTACAATAGTCTCATGGCAGAAGTGTTGCATTGTATGTTGCTAAGATGGTGGATTCTTATTGTACGTTATTTTCAATGATTATGCATTATTAATAAAATGTTGAGGAAGAGAAGTTGAGAACTCTGCAAGTTAGAATAAGTCGGACTTGAGCACTTCCCTGGCTTTGCAACTGAGATGACCCTCAAACCGTGCAAATGTTCATTCATTTTTAAAAATTACTCATGGCTGTTAGAAGGAGAATCTTACCAACTGTGTACTGTATACGTTTCGATTCCACTCCCTCCGCATCTTGCAGAGCAAAGTTAAACTGTTCCTGAATGCCACTGCAGGCGGGAACTGCTTATCTTCCAGTTTCGTCTGTTTTTATTGGTTTTTAATTATCTTGGCCTTAAGGATTCACTGTTTTTTTTTTTAGTGAGGTTTCAGACATTCAATTTCCTGTGTTTCTGAGGAGTCTGATATTAGTGACTTAAATGACGATTTTAATTAAGGATTTAATTAAGGATTAAGGCACAAGATGGTACAAAACATCTAAGGTTCTCCCCCTCATTGCTATAGACTGTACCTGTTTTTGTCTTTCTGCTTCTTTTCCAATTTTAACTACTTGTTCTTGGGGATGATTTAGAACCATATTTCCAGCAACAACGGTTTGGTCCAATCTTTCCGAAAGCTCTAAAATAGACAAGTACACATTCATAAACAAAGAGTAGTATAAGAATGGTTAGTTACATATGCTGCAACATGAATTATACTAAACAGAACTTGTTTAAAACAAATCAACATTTTAAAGAAATTGGCAGGAAAGAAAGATTTGAAGAACTTAATCACAGAAAACAGGGTAATGAACTGAACTATAGTTTCTCTCTCTATATATATGAATTATATTTATGGACCTTGCACCTTCTGAAGCTGAGCAATCTTAGAAAGGAGCTGCTACCTTTTCCCCTCATCTCTGCTCACAACTCAAGGCCACTATAATTCATTATACAGTGGTGCCTCGCTTAACGAGCGCACCGTATAACGATGAAATCGCATAGCGATCCGTTTTTTCAGATCGCTAATGCGATCGCTGAACGTTTTTGTAATGGGGAAAAATTCGCTTTGCGAAGATCGGTAAGCGTTTCGCTTACCGATCTTCGCAAAACGAACCCCGACGATCAGCTGTTCGGCGGCCAAAATGGCCGCCGGAAGCCGGGAAATGGCCCGAAATGGCCGCGCGCAGCGTTTTCGCGCCCTCGTTAAGCGAGGCGAGGGCGTGAAAATGGCTGCCGGCCATCCTGAAGCTTCGCTGAACGGTATTTGGCCTATTTGGAACGCATTAAACGATGTTTAATGCGTTCCAATGGAAATCGCTGCCCCGTTCAGCGATGCTTCAGCATAGCGAAGGTTAATCCGGAACGGATTAACCTCGCTATGCGAGGCACCACTGTATGTGTAATGAATGCTTTATATAAATTTTACTTATTCAGATGGAATACTGAGGCATAATTTAGCATTACGGGCACAAGGCACAGTAAGTCTTGGATGCACATGTGCGTGTACATATGCACACACACACACACACACGCACACACACACTCTCCCTCCAAAGGGATAACTATGATTAGAAAGTTTACAATTCTGTGATTCTCTACCACAAAATATTGATGGGGATATTCTCAAAAGAAACTTCAGTGTCATGTAGAAAAATTGCTTTAAAATCTACGTATTCCAGCATCTTGGACTCACAAACTTGTATCTTAGTTTTTTTCTTCCTGAGGACCACTAGGCTCAGTTTCAAAATCTGAATGCATGATGGTCACATACCTTTGCCTTCACATACAGGAGCATCCTTTGGTTCCTGCTCAGGTTCTGAGTCACACAGTCTTCTCTCCCCACTAGAAAGGGTTCCTGACTCAATTGTCCCCATGTCACTTTGGTCCTCTGGCTCATCTCTTGCGGTCCATTGGTCTTTCTGGTTTCTGATCTTGTTTAGCAGTTTTTTAAGAGCTAATCTTGACTGAGGTTCAGGTGCTTTTTCTACTTCACGACCTACTATTAAAAAATAAAACATTACTGATGATGATAAATAACAACAACACACAAAGGTACATGAAATCTATGAACATGCACCCTCTGTATATGAGGTTCAGGATCAACGACAGAATAAAAGATCTTCATAAGACTGACTTCAACCATAGGCCTTGGCAGGTAATCTGCCAAGACAGCCTTTTGAGGGAAGAATTACTATTATTTTAATTTTTTTATCCTATCTTTTCTCCAATACCACAGCCCTAAACAGCCAGCAACAAAAAGTTTAACATCAAATATCACAATGGCGAGTATCTAAAGATCAGTGGGTAAATCTAGTAGGCATGCAAAAGTGCACCACCCCAGATGTTCTGCTAAGATACGACTCATGAGACCTCATGCTTCATTTTCAAGGATTTCAGATTAAGAATTTTTTTCTTACCACCTGGTTCAATATTCTTCACCTCATCCTCCTGACCTCGTGCCACCTCAGAGACAGAATCTGGCTCTTGAGAGAGTTCTAGGTCATCATCTTGAGACTGCTTTAAGAGGGTGGGCAATGGCTGGGGATCAAGGTGCAAGATAAGGTCGCCTTTCATTCCTGTGGAAAGCAATTAATCCACATGAAATCAATATGCCGTGCTCTGTACTGCACATTCTAACTACAGAGAAAGTAGTGGTTTCTAGGAAGAAGCAATATTCTAATACAGTGGGCCCTCGACTTATTTAACTTAATTCATTCCGGAAGTCCGTTTGTAACCCGAAAAGTTCGTAACTCGAATCAGCATTTCCCATAGGAATGCACTGAAAACCATTTAATCTGTTCCGGCTGTTTTTGGTTCTTAAATTGAGGGGCAGTTCGCAAATCGATTCATTAGTTCCCATAGGAACTAATGCAAAGCTGCTTAATCTGTTCCTTCTACTAGGGGCAGAATTGTATCTTTTTTGACCCTTTCCCCCCTTTTTTTGGGTTCATAACTCGATTCCGCGTTCGCAAGTAGGGTCTATAGTTTCCTTTGAGATCGGGTTCGTAACCCGAAACGTTCGCAACTAGTGCCATTCTTAAGTCGAGGGCCCACTATAATAGGAAATAAACACATGTTGCAAGATGTTTGATTACATTAAGAATAAAATTTTTTACATTAAGAATAAACATTCAGAACAATCTTTTCTCTTAATACTAATAGCTAGATTTCCTATGACAAGAAACCTAGCCATGAAGACTTAAGGCAAATGGTAGCTACAATCATCTGCTAACTACAGTCACCATGTGAACACCATCACTGCTAGAATTCAATCTTAAAAAACACTTCATTTTGTGCCATCTAGTCAATTCTGACTTATGGCAACCCTAATAGAGTTTTAAGGACATGTGAGATGTTCAAAGAATGGTTTCCCATTGCCACTGCAGTGAGTTTCCCAGCTGAGTGGCCACCTGACTTCACATCTCTGACGTGGGAGTGCCCAACGCCTTATCCATTAACTCTCTTAATAAACCTTAGAGATTCTGAATTAGAATACGTTTTGAGAATTGAAACTAGCACATTAGAACAACATATGCCCTCTGTGACAGGCAAACTAGAAAGGCTTGATTGATGCTCTATTCCAATGGTTCCTAAACCTTGGATCTCCAGATGTTAGACTGAAACTCCAAGGACACTTTACCATTAGTTGTGCTGGCCCGGGCTTCTGGTAGTTGCAGTCTAAGAATATCTGAGGAACCACTGCTCTATTCAAATAGAATCTTTTACTATACTTGTGGGAACTAATATACCAGGTCTCAGCTGCAACTTAAGTATTTAGGAGCAGCACTTAAATAACACAGAAGTAACTGGACTAGGAATATGGAAAAGCACTAATTGTTGATAAAAGATAACAATTCCCTAATCAATGCTATGGTGGAGGTTTCACAGAACTCAGTTCAGTTTCTGAGCAAGATCTATTGGAATGGCAAGGAATTGTGTGAAATGTTTCCTTGATCTTTATAATTGGTGGTTTCCAAATTGCTGCCTTCAGGAAACGCTTTCCACACCAATTCATCTTCTGAAGAAATCTAGATAATCTGCCACCAAATTTTTTTAAAACATTGTACAATAGTTTCTGGTGTGTCCAAAACACACACTCAGTCCACCTGAAAGCACTGGCCAGGTCTGCTGGGCTTCCTTATTGCTCTGTATGAAAAGACAGAACAAGCCCAATCCACTCAGTGGTGAGTAGGTGGTTTTTCAGCGGAGCAGATCTGCCATTGCTGCTCATTTCAATGAATAACTCCAACAAGACCAAAAGGATCTCTGGGTCGCCAAACACAGTTAGACAGCCATGGTGCCACATAATACCTACTCCGATCTCCAGTGTACATGTCTTCAAAGGCACACTCCAGCTCCCTTTGCCATTCTTCCTTGATTTCCACACGCCTGTAGGTTGGTTCGAACAACTGTGGGGGCATCTGCGCAACAATCTGTCTCCTGCGTGCAAGGTCTATATTCTGCATCTGTTCCAGCTCCTTCATTAACTTTTCCCTGTCCTTTAATGTGGAAAAACAACCAGTTATGATGCTGTCGTTTACAGCTATCCAGTGTTGTTGTTTTGACACAACAAGAACATCTTTTCATCCACTATGATTGTCTGCTTTACTGTTGGGAAGCTTTTGAGAAAAGACTCAATAGCACGTCATAAAATGAAGTTCAGAGAAGGCTTATTAATGCAGATAGATGGACAAACCACAAAGGTGAAACTCTCCCTCTCCCCCCAACTTCACATACACAGAGTAAAGCAAACTTACAACTTAAGTACAAATAATATTGTTGAGATGAACTGCACAGATACAGAATGGAAGACACCCGGCTAGACAACAATACCTATGAAAGGGATCTAGGAGTCTTGGTAGACCACAAGCTGAACATGAGTCAGCAGTGTGATGCAGCTGACAAGAAAGCCAATGCAATTCTTGGTTGCATCAATAAGAGTATAGTGTCTAGATCAAGGAAAGTGATACTGTAGTACCATTCTGCTTTCGGTCAGACCTCACTTGAGTATTGTGTTCAGTTCTGGGCACATCAATTCAAGAAGGATGTTGGCAACCTGGAACATGTTCAGAGGAGGGTGCTAAATGGTTAAAGGTCTGGAAGTCATGTCCTTTGGGACTTAGGGAGTTGGGAATGTTGAGCCTTACAAAAAGAAGGTTGAGAGGGGACATGATAGCCACATTTAAATATCTGAAAGGATGTCATGTTGAAGACGGGACAGGTTTGTTTTCCACGGCTCCAGACACTAGGACACGGCGCAATGGTTTCAAACTACAGGAAAAGAGATTCCATCTGAACATCAGGAAGAACTTCCTGACGGTCAGAGCTGTCCGGCAGTGGAATAAGGCTGCCTCGAAGGCTGGTGGAGTCTCCTCCTTTGGAGGTTTTTAAGTAGAGGCTGGGTGGCCATCTGTTGGGAGTACTTTGATGGATGTTCCTGCATGGCGGGGGTTGGACTGGATGGCCTCAGTGGTCTCTTCCAACTCTATGACTCTGCTACACACATTGTTCAAAAGGAATCTCCCACTCCTTTGAAAAAACAGGATAGTGCTTTATTTCAGCATGACTTCAATTTAAAGATGGGCTTTCAAATTCATACAATGTTATGAAATGTCAACTCCAGTTCTAATGATTTTCCTGCATCATTTCATGATGTATATGTTGGTAATAGTTATTTCAAATATAATATTGTTTCCTTCCTTCACAACATAAAGTGGATTAAAATTACCTTTAATACCTGGACTTTTCAGTGTCTCTGCTGAATTAATGAAGTGCTACAAAAATGAACTAATTTTGGAGTTCCATAGACCGTTGTCAGTATCCAACCAATATATCTGTTTTGAAAGTACTCTGCACAAATATGTATGAGCAAATGATACATGTCTAATAGAAACTGATAAAATCCTTGGGTTAAATCCAACATTGGTCCTATCTAGAGCATACCACTGAATTCAATGGAACTTAGATTAAGTCCTAACTAACAAGCCTCATTCATTTCAATTGGACCAACATTAGAAGTAGCCCTCTGATCCCTATTCTAACTATATTTAATTCTGAAATTGTTGAAAGCCATCTAATGTAATTAACAACAATCTCTTCACCCATCCATTGAACATGTACATTCATTGTTCTTACAGTTTTGAAATTCCTTTTTTTTTTTTTTTTTGCTCTGAAGTGCGAACAACCGCTGTGAGGCTTTTTCAATGTTCAACTATATTTCCTGGCTGACACTGGAAATAACCTTGCAAACCTGAAGACTAAGGTCTTCAGGTCTAACGATGTGCATTTGAAGGGTATGAACTTTTAAAAATTCATTATTCCAGAATCCTTCTGGAAAGCGACGAGAAGAGTCTACTTTGAATTCATTAAATATACAATAAAGTTTGCTATTATTTCACATTTCACTTCTCATATGAAAGAACACACTGTTCTGACTTTCCTTACTTGTGCCAGACGAACGACCTTCAAGGCGTGCTTCCCTCTCAGACGAGCCTTTTCCAGCTGCTCTCTCCTTTCTCTTTCTCTGTCACCTTGTAGTCCTTCCGCCTGTTTGGCTTTCTCTTCAGCGAGTAACCGAGCATCTGGCTGGCAGTCAACCGAAAACAAGTTAGCAATACCAACTTCTCTTGGGTCTCAAAACACAAGACCACACCTGAAGGACAATTCTGTAGATAAAAGGATCAAAGCCAAATAAACTTGGAACAACATTCCCCACCTAACTACCCCGAAACAGCACCCATATGTTACCCAAGAATATTCAATTTATACACTGCCCCATCTGACTACTAAGGCCACTGTGGGTGGTTCACAACAATATACAGTATACCACAATAACATATTAGATAATAACCTCATAAACAAAACTAGAATATAAAATCAAATAAACATATCAGTTGATTGAACTAAAAAAAAGAGAACATGAAAATGATTAATCAATGCAAAATTAAAACATAAAAATTAAAACATTAACAAAGCAAGATGGGGGAGTTACAAGTCCAGTAGAAAGCAAAACTTTTCACTGGCTCTGAATGTAAACAATGTATTACTTGAATTTATCAACTGTGAGTGATATATGGTTTATTATCTGGGGAGTTTTAAAGGGGAGGACAATCAATGGCCTGTCATGAAAGTTTTGGAATAGATTTGAACTATAAGCACTTGATAACTAGATAAATTTTATGAATTTGCTCCTGGATGCATAACAAGCCTTTGTTGTGTCTTTTTAAAGTACAGTGGTGCCTCGCATTATGACTTTAATTCGTTCCAGCAAAATCACTGTAGAACAAAAACGTCGTACAGTGGACCCTCTACTTACGGAATTAATCCGTATTGGAACGGTGGCTGCAGGTCGAAAAGTCTGTAGGTCGAGTCTCCATTGACCTACAATGCATTGAAAACCGATTAATCCCGTAACCAGCAGTTTTTGTTCCGTTTTTGTTTCATTTTGGTTTTTTTCTGGTCTGTAGGTTGATTCTCTGGCTGCAAGTTGAACCTAAATTTTGCAGCCAGAGAAGTCTGTAACTTGAAAAGTCTGTAAGTCGAGCTGTCTGTAAGTTGAGGCTCCACTGTAATGTGATTTTAAAAAGCCCATAGAAACGCATCGCAAAATATCAACGTCAAGCGATTTCGTAATCAAACGGAGCGCCCATCTTGCGGGGCACCACTGTATTTAAAAAATTGAGACAACACTATGTCAGTTCTCTGTGAATTCAACCTGATATAGAAAATTATATATCCACTTTCCCCGTCATCAAACGGAGCGTCCGTCTTGCGGGACACCACTATATTTAAAAAACTGAGACAACACTATGTCGGTTCTCCGTGAATTCAACCCGATATAGAAAATTATATATCCACTTTCCCCCTCTGGCAAAGGAAGAAATGTTATGCCACAGAACAGTGAGTAATGTTTGCCCTACGGTAATAAGCAGCAGCCTCATTCCACTGAACAATAATGGTCCATAATGAAATGCAAGGGAGCTGCCAAAGATTCATCTTGGAAGCTGTGAAGACACATACACTGATGAGTGTTGCATCTTCTATAAGTCATCCCTACTACAGATTTACAGAATCTGTGACTACAGCAAGGATGCATGAAGTGTGGACTATGGGTTGCTTGTGTCATCCAAGTGGACCACATGCAGTACTCTAATGGTCCAAGTGTGCCCCCCCTCCTGGACAGCACCCTCACTGCACCCCCATTTTTGGGGGGGGGAAAGGGGAAAATCTTCTAGGGATGAATGGCTCAGGAGTTTTAAAAATATAGTAAAATTGTTTTTGGCACCCACTAAGGAACATGACAGAGATTTTTCAGTTAATAAAAGGTGTGGAGGAGAGAAAAATACTACAGTGGTGCCTCGCAAGACAAGCGCCCCGTTTAATGACAAAATCACATCACGACGAGCTTTTTTCGATCGCAAAAGCGATCGCGTTACAATGTTTTAAATGGGCTTTTTTTTGCTTTGCGATGATCGGTTCCCTGCTTCGGGAACCGATTCTTGCAAAACGACGAATTTTGGCCAGCTGATTGGCGGTTTCAAAATGGCCTCCGGGTAAAAAAAAAAATGGCTCCCCGCTCTTTTCTGGGATGGATTCCTCGCTGCATGGGCAGCAAAAATGGCCGCGCTATGGAGGATCTTCGCTGGACAGTGAGTTTCAAGCCCATAGGAACGCATTAATCGGGTTTTAATGTGTTTCTATGGGCTTTTTTATTTCGCATTACGACGTTTTTTTCTACAGTGATTTCGCTGAGGAAGAGGCTAGTCGTAATGCGAGGCACAACTGTATTTCATATAGAGGCCACCTAGATCTGAGGGTAGCTGTGAGGGACTCAGATGTCTGATGGTTGCACACAGTTGTGTTAAAGGATGATATGAAAAGGCAATAATAGTTGAAAAGAAGAAAACATGGAAGGACTCAGACGTCTGAAGGTTGCACACAGTTGTATTAAAGGATATGAAAAGACAATAATAGTTGAAAAGAAGAAAACATGGAGGAAGAGGCTGTTTTCTGAAGGAGTAACATGACCACCTGCAGTGTGAAACATAGTTCCCAAGAAATAATGTATTTTCTATAGTTCACAAGTAAAATGGAACTCCACTTCTTACTTAATGAAAAACAACACATTCTGCTTTCATAAACCACATGCAGATCTTTATTTTCCTGTGCCTGACTATGGGTACCCAGGAAGTGGACACACTCCTGGATTACTGCTATGTTGTTTCCTAGAATACGTCACAGACATGCTAAAACTCAGTCACCTGTTCTGTGTCCATTTCTCTATCCACATGTGGGTCAAAGAGATGGTGGTGAGTAAGTGAAAATGTCTCAGCAGCACAGACTTTCACAGTAGTGACACTCTTCAAGTCAACATTCTAAAAAAAATTAAACAATAAATTAATTTTAAAAGAGCAATGTTATTCCAGCTTGGGCTAAACAAAAGTAAACTTTATAGTGGGTCATCTGCAACACACAATAAAGTAGGAGAATGTCTCAGGGCTTCAGCTGAGCATTGTAACACTACACAGCTATTTTCCATGGCTAACATTCTTTTTCCTTTATTAAGCTTTTAAGTGTCATAACACATGGAGATAAACCTCCCCTCACACCAGCATAGCTAATGATCCAAAAACTAAAAAATGAGTGGAACTAAATTATTTCTCAAAACCTTAATAATGTCCAGAGAAAAATTAAATATACCAATGAATCATTCCTATTACAGTCATTGTTAATTTTATTTTTTTCCCCCTGAATCTGACTTGAAACAGGTCTGATTTCTAACTAAATGTTACAATTAAGTGTTTTACTAAGGAGATTGCACAGTCCTTTGGGATTATCAGTAGAGATGAGGGTATGTGTAGATGAATACCTCTGCACAGCTGGAGTTAACGAGGGTCCAGCCCCTGGGACTTCATTCATGCGTCTGTCACTGCTGCCAGCCCGCTCTTCCTTCCAATCACTCCTGAGCACCCGACTTCATTCATGCATCTGTCACTGCTGCTGGCCCAGCTCTTCCTTCCAATCACTCCTGAGCACCCAGTCAGCTATCCACTCATCAGCCTGGCAGGGAGACTCGTCTTCCCTCCTTCTGCCAGGCGTGGCTAGCCGACTAGGAGCTCCAGAGCAACTGGAAGGAAGAGTGGGGGTAGCAGACGCGTGAGTGGATGTTAACTCCAGTTAACCTTCGTTAACTCTCCTTCTGCCAGGCATGGCTAGCCGACTGGGAGCAATTGGAAGGAAGAGTGGGGGCAGCAGACACGTGAGTGAATGTTAACTCCAGTTAACCTTCGTTAACTCCAGTTGTGCGGGGGTATTCATATCTGTATATGATAAGCAATATGATAATTATCATAGGAGAGCCTGGATAACTAAAATAAACAAAGCCTGAAAACTAGCTGTAATTTCGAGGGTCTTATTCAAGTTATAGCTACTTAAGCTCCACTGAAATTACTGGTAAGTCATGAATGATAACTCGCTTGTTCCACCAGTTTCACTCAGATTTAAATTACTTTTCCTCTGCTTATGACCTACAAGCATAACGTTTTTAAAAGACATTTTATTAATCACAGTAAAATGTCACAATAAACACTTACCTACATGTCCCTAAACAAGTGAGCAAAAACTGATGCATGCTAGCTTCATTACAAGTACACATGCCATTCAATACAGTTGAATGTCACCTGCCATTCCTACAACCAACCAGCATCTATACTTTTACAAATAACACTTCTAAAAAAATGATCCCATTAGTCGCTATGATGAGACCACACTTTACCTAGCTAGACTTTTAAGGCTCTGGAAGCAAAATACTCACTTCAGAAGGATGGAGGGGAGGAGGAGGCAGGCTTGCAATTTTAGCAGCCCTTTCCTTTTCTACTTGGAACGCATGCCTCCGTGCATTTGCGCGCCTTGTTTAGAAGAAAGAGGAATGGTAAGATATAAAAGAAGTTAAATTAGAATTTATGCAAGGCCAAAACAAAGAAAGAGCAAAACACAAGACAAATAATTTTTATTGGCTCCCCATTTAGTGAATTTCTAGAAAAAAAGTCTGCAAACAAAATGAGCCTGGATAACTAAAATAAACAAAGGTAACAAAATTTACAAGAACTAGAGAATAAAATGCAAATGACACCACACATCCAAATTAACTTTTAAACTATTTTGGTTTATTTCTCCTGAATAATTGTGGACATTTCAATTGTTATGAAAAGGGAGAGGTTAATCTATACAAAGCTGCAATACTAAGGCTTAGGCCAACACAGAAACAAAATGCTATTAGGCCTCTAGCCCTATGCATAACTACTCAGTAGCATGTTCCTTGAAGACAGCAAAGACAAACTTCAGAGGATTGGGTCTCGGATATGCATAGACAAAAATGCATCTGCTGTTCTTTGTTCTCTACTCCCTTGGTCAAGACAAGGCCAACGACTGCCACTGCACCAGTGTGATCCAATAGGAAGTCCACTGCTTTGTGCTTTTCACGAACACAAGGCAGGGCTGTTATATCTACCAGTGATACTGCAGAAATGGCAGAGAAGCCACACTGTGCTGTTCTTTCAAGGCAAATTCACCTTAAGATTTTGGTAGTCATTTCCCTTCATTGATTAGGCTTTCCATTTTTTTTTCTCCTCCCACATTGCAAGAGAGGACAGAATCAACCAGTCAACCAATATTGCCTTGCCAACGTTCAATGGAACTGCTCCACTGGAGCTCCACTGGAGCAGGAAGGAGGTGTCCTTACACATGCAAGAAGTTTATCCAACCCACTATATACAACCCACTGGCTTGACTGAGGACTGAGTTATTAAGGGAGACATGTTATTATGCTATCAGCTGTTTGCAAGCCTCATGCACACAGCTGAGCTACAGATTCATCCCTAAGGTAAAGGTAAAGGTTCCCCTTGACAATTTTTGTCCAGTCGTGTTCGACTCTAGGGGCCGTTCCTCATCCCTGTTTCCAAGCCATAGAGCCAGTGTTTTTGTCCGAAGACAATCTTTCGTGGTCACATGGCCAGTGCGACTTAGACACGGAACGCTGTTGCCTTCCCATCAAGGTGGTCCCTATTTATCTACTTGCATTTGCATGCTTTCAAACCGCTGGGTTGGTGGGAGCTGGGACAAAGCAACGGGAGCTCACTCCGTCGTGTGGATTCCATCTTACGACTGCTTGGTCTTCTGACCCTGCAGCACAGGCTTCTGCGGTTTAGCCCGCAGCGCCACCACGTCCCTTTGATTCATCCCTAGGCTCTAGCTATTAAATAAAAATCATATACATCTACTATCCACATGGCTGCTCTAGGGATCAATCCTACTGTTCAACATAATAGGACTTCCGAACCTACTTAGGTTTTCACAAAGTACGCTCCTAAAACGGCAACATCCTGCAGAATACAGAATTCCTAGCATTCTTAATAGGGCTGCACAATGGGATTGCAGAAACACACATCCTCTTGCTCAAGAGAAATCTCACTTTGGACAGTTCATCGTGCTGCAACTCCAGTTTTAAACATTTTCCAGGCTGTGCCGGGGAGTGGAAAGTTTCACTGCACCAAAGAACTCACATAGTATTGGATGTAAGCTCCAAATTTTACTTTAATGATTCATTACTTTTATATATTGCTTTTCATCTAATGAAATATACAGTTCACCTTCTCCTTACAATAACCACATACAAGAGAGTTCAAAAGCCAAGGACATTAATTGTGTTTCACAACTCTATGGGCATTTGTATCTGGATCTTCCAAGTCCTAGTTCTACACTTATATTGGGATGTATACAGAAGCATGCACAACACTTTCTCAAGGGATAAAGAGCACAAAGTATATGCATTGCATCTCTTACCATATTTGCTCCCTTAGCAGCTTCTCTCTTTGGGTTTTCTGTTTTTTAAGTGCCTCTTTATGCCTTTTTTCTGCTCTCTGTTTTCTCTCCTCTGCTTGCCTCGACAGAGCTTCCAAATCAGGTTCCTTTGAAATAAAATATGTGTTCAGTTGTTGCCAGAGAAGTAAATTATTTCTAACATTTAAGAAGGTCACATTCACATGATTTCGTTATTTATCACATAATTCACATTGTAACCTTATCAAGGTCACTCATTCACAGAGTTGCCACAAGTTGAAAGAGACTTGATGGTGCATAACAAAGCCTTATACAAAGGTATCCAAGGCAACATCCTTCATCCTTACCAGCACAACCAATGTTGCCCTATTATTTCATCTTTCAGAGCTTTCAAGCCTAATCTTCTATGCAATTCTGTATATGTGTGTGTGTATATACACTTGTACACAAACATATACACAATATACTTTCTAGGACCCGATCAATCATTACAAGACCTGCATTAAAACAATTATAAACCGACTCTTGATGGAAAAGGCACTTTTCACATGGTGGTAGGACTCCAAAAAGCAACCTGCAAACAGCCATGCACATATTTTCATGTTTTAAAGACATGGACCAGGCCTATTTCTCCCTTGCAAAGCACCAACTTAACAAACAAGCAAACCAAGTTTGTGTCACCATGGCTCAGCATCCATGAGAACCAGACAAATCAAAATATACCTATCCATGGTATTTAACAGTTGTTGGAATCACTGCAATTTACTCAAAATGAATATAGTTAGCATTAGGATGTTCAATTTATCCTTTTTCCTTATTTATGTGAATGTTTTTTTCAGAGTCTGAGAAAAAGATCTTTCACAGAGAAAAAAATATGACGTCCATCTCCACTTTTCTTCCTCAGATTCTCATGATCATCATAAACTAAAGAGACACTCATTCAGAATTAACTTCCTGCTCTTTATATAGATGGTTCATAAATTTAGTTTCACTTATTCTAGGCTGAAACACTCCAGATGTGATTCAGAAGCACAGCCCCCACACTGAGCAAAACCAAACCTGCAGTATAACTGAGCACTCTATCACTTCATGCACACCCACAATTATTCTTGTATCTTGTTTTATTTGTACACAATTCACTTGTTGCATGGACATATGAAGATATATTAATCTAGAAAAAAAAGATTTTCTATACATCTTTCTTTAAAAATGTAATAATGTGAAAAAAATGTGACTCTTACCAATGCCTTTATACTTTATTAGTATATGGTTACATGACTTAATAAAAAGATACAATGAAAATTACTGGCCAGTATTTGGTTCAATATTTACACATGACAAACTCCAATAGTTGAAACTGCTACAGCAGTCTGAAAAATGATGGTCATGTGCCTGGTCTCATACAACCAGCACCTCGCTCGACTACCATGGCAATTTTCAGAGTTAGATCCTTGCACAGATGTAAATACTAAACAAAATACTGGTCATTAGATTTTCCCCACCCCAGCAAGTATCTCCAAACAGCACTGATTCTGTGATGGTATCACAGTAGCCATTTACCTACATTTTCTTTTGCCTGCTGGTGCCCTTCTCCTACAGCTCTTAAGCCTGACAGATAAAGCTTTTCCAAGGCTTTAATCTTCTCATCTTGTGCTTTCTGCCAGTTTGCCTTCAGTTCTTCTGCCAACAGATGCAGCTGTTCATCTCTTCGTTGCTTAACATCTTGTCTTATCTGTAAAGCAATATTCCTCTCTTGCTCTCTAACCTGGAGGAAAAAATATATATCTATCAATCATTTGATATTTTTATAGAGGATTCTAATCTCTTTTCTGACTGTTCTTTTATTTAATCCTTTATTCTCTTTACCCAAGGCCACCTGAGACATATCTTGTCCTTAGTTTACCCCACGGAATACAACGCCGGCATCTGCAGAATGAGGGTCAGCAACCATAGGGAAGGAAAAGAGAAAGCTACAGGTAGCAGACCAGTTTGCAAATTGCAGCCTTATTCAACTGTAATGAAGTGTAGTCTGTCAGGTAGATGGAACTCATGCAGAATATCATGCCACTCAAAGAGGCATTCAGTGAGCACCCCAAGGAGATGCCTCAAGCATAATTACTGTAGAACCAGCATGACTAATTCAGCCTTGCAGGTAAGAATGCAGTAGTCATTTGTTCACATCTAGTTTAAATAGCTTTGTAGGTACACACACAGAACTATGTCAGTCATTTAAACAGTAGCAGAATGAGAAAGATTCAACCAGACAAGCCCAATCTGTGGTTGGCAGGGCTCTGCTCCCATTAGTGATCAAATGTTGAAGCCCCACAACCATTCGGGAGAAGTCCCTGTTCTTCTCTCTCTAGCTCAATACAGTGGTGCCTCACTTAACGACTGCCTCACTTAACGAAGAATTCGCTTACCGATGGGTTTCTTTGAGGAATTTCCCCCATCGTTTAACAATGTTCTCTATGGGGGATTTTCACTCAACGATGTCTGTTTTCGCTCCTGTAAAAGTGTCTTAAACTGTTTGAAACCTGTTTTAAATGCTTGCAATCGTTAGCCCACCTCCTGAAACCTATGCAAACTTAATTTGGTGTTGTTCTGAGTCTTCGTTAATTTTTGGTGACTTTTTAAATTCTCCATTGAAAGCCATTGATGGCTTTCAATGGAGAATAAAAAAAATCACCAAAAATTAACGAAGACTCAGAACAACACCAAATTAAGTCTGCATACATTACACAAGGTGGACTAACGACTGCAAGCATTAATCCGTTCCAATTGGAACAGATTAACCTGTTTTCAATGCATTCCTATGGGAAATTGTGTTTCACTTAACGATGTTTTCACCTAACGATTTTTTTAATGGAACCAATTAACATCGTTAAGCGAGGCAGCACTGTATTTGTAACGAGGGGGAGGGAGGTGTGCTACATCCGTCCTTCCTGTGTAGCTTGTTCAATTGCCTAAATGAATGGCTATTTCCAACAGCGCAAACATACTTGCTGAAGCCGCAGCCGCCGTCTTCTTTCATGCTCTTCTTTCAAGAGCTGAGCTTCTTCATTAGGACTAAGCCTAAGTGCCCCTGCTTTGGCCACTTTTCTTTTCATCTCTGGATACACTGAATATTCTGTGCTGCAGTAACAAAGCAAAACATAACAGAAATGCCTTTTGTTTCAATTTTCCTTGATGAAGTTAACAAAACAAATTAATGTGTGCACTAAAGAAAACCCTTTTTTTTTCTTGACAGCAGAAAATGATGTGCAAATCATCTACTAGGTTTGGTTTTAAGCCATTTCTTTGCCGTGGTTCATGAAATGAAACACTAGTCTTTTAGCCACTTCAACACTCCACACAATTGTCTGCATTTAAGGAAAAAGCTGACAATGTTAAGACATACAGCACTCCTCAAAAACAACACATCATTTATTTCTTTAAAAAAAGAAACAAAAAGACACATACTTCTTATGCCTCTATATATAATGCTATTCAAAGCTTTAAAATGTTCATAAAAATAAGGACAGGCAGGCAAGAAGCAAAAATAAAATGCAACAACAGCAGGGTGAGAATCCTGAATGCTTTTCAGCAACTGTTATGTAGAGACAAGATCTATCTCTTGCACATGGCCAGTGCAAGAAATAGATCTCTTGCAGAAGATCCGGAAAGCAGAATGAAATTTAAACCTAGACTAAGAATGTTGAGAGACCAACTGGGAAACACACTATATGACCAGGACAAATAAAGTGAATGCATAAACAGTACACTGAAAACGTATACAGAAGAGAAAAAGATGACAGATGCCTTTGAAGAAGAATCCTATGATGAAGAACCTGCAGTTCTAGAAAGTCATGTGAAAGTTGCTCTGAAAGCACTAGGAAGAAATAAATCATGAGGAGCAGATAAGATACTGATAGAATTATTTCAGGCTACGGAGACTGAATCTGTCAAAATCATAGCAAAATATGCCAGCAAAAACAGAAAACAAAACAATGGCCCAAAGACTGAAAAAATTCCATATAGAGTCCAATCTCCAAGAAAGTAGATGCTAAGTAGTAACTATAGGACCATTGCACTAATTGGCCATGCAAGTAAAATAATGCTCAAAGTGTTGTGACAAAGACATTTACTTTATATGGAGTGAAAAATGCCTGATGTCCATGCTGCCTTCTGAAAAGAAACAGACCCTCGAGATCATATTGTAAATATCCGCTGGCTACTGGAGCACTCCAAAGAATTTCAGAAGAAGATCAGTCTATGCTTTATAGACAACAGCAAAACCTTTGACTGTATGGCTCGTGAGAAACCATGGCTTGTTCTGAAACAAATGGGTGTGCCTCAACACTTGATTGTCCTAATGCATAACTTCTTGTGGACAAGAAGCTACCATTAGGACAGGATACATAGAGACAGAAGTGTTTCTTATAGGCAAAGGTGTCAGACAAGGTAAAAGATTCCTCTTAACATTTAGTCCAGTCATGTTCAACTCTAGGGCACAGTGCTCATCCCCATCTCCAAGCCGTAGAGCCAGCATTTTGTTCATAGACAGTTTATGTGGTCCCATGGCCAGCACGACTAGACACGGAATGCTGTTACCTTCCCACCGAGGTAGTACCTATTTATCTACTTGCATTTTTACATGCTTTCGAACTGCTAGGTTGGCAGGAGCTGGGACCAGCGACCGGAGCTCATTCTGTCACATGAATTCTATCTTATGACTGCTGGTCTTCTGACTTTGCAGCACAGAGGCTTCTGCGGTTTAACCCGCAGCGCCACCACATCCCACAAGGATATATTTCATCTCTCTATCTGTTCAATCCACAGACAGAACATATCATACTGAAAGCTGGAGTAGATTCAGAAGGAGAAGTGAAAATTGGTGGAAGAACAATCAATAGTTTTAAGATATGCAGATGATACCATCTTACAGAGAAGTGAAAATTGGTGGAAGAACAGTTTTAAGATATGCGGATGATACCATCTTACAGGAAGAAGGCAGCAATGACTTGAAAGAACTTGTGATGAAAGTAAAAGAAGAAAGTGCCAAAGCAGGACTTTGGCAGTTGAACATTAAGAGAACAAAAATCATGACTACTGAAGAACTACAGGACTTTGGTGTTGTACAAAAAAGAAATTGGAACAGTTAAGAGATTTTGTATACCTTGGTTCAATCATCCATCCAAATGGAAACTGCAGCAAAGAAATCTGGAGACTGGGACCGATTACTATGAATGGATATGAGAACTGGACAGTGAAAAAAGCTCAGGAAGAAAATTGATTTGTTTAAACTATGATGCTAGAGGAGAACCTTGCAGATATCTTGACTGTCAGAAAGGCAAACAAGTAGGTCCTGGAACAAACCAAGCCTGAGCTATCTCTAGAGGCAAAAATTATGAAACTGAAGCTGTTCTAATTTGAGCACATCAGAAAAGAAAACAAATACTAAGGCTGGGGGAAAAAAGAAAGTAGCAGGGAAAAAAAGAAAACCAACTATGAGATGGATTCAAAAAAGAAAGTAGCAGGAAAAAAGAAAACCAACTATGAGATGGATTCATTCAATCAAGGAACCCATAGCTGTGAGTTTACAAGAGCTGATCAAGGCTCTTCAGGAGGGGGCATTTTACAGATACTGTAGCTCATTCAAAAAGTCACCATACGTCAGAGATGACTTGATGGCATTTAACAATAACAGTAACTAGCAAATGGAATCTGATTATTTGACATTTTGCTGTTCAGATTTTCAGGAACACTATCATCATGTTTGCAAGTTTTCATGCAGCCACAAAGGTTGGAAATGCTGTTCCGAAAGCGGAGTTAACATTTTTCAGAGGATTGCAGGCAGCACATGCCTTTGAAAGTTTCTCAAGGACAAAGACGGTCTATTAGACATGTTTCACACAGTTTCAGCATTCTTAATTAGTTCCACCTATGGGAAAATCAGTACAAGAACGAATATACTTTTTAAAATACGGAATATTGCTTAGTGTTTCAAATACAGAATACTGCTTACAGTGTTTCACAAGAAAAGAGCTTCTGAAAGGACACAAGGTCTCTAAAGGACTGAACTTCATAATCTTGAAATATTGTTTTTATATATCTTTTACACACAAACACTAAACCACCCTGCCTTGTGAACTCTCATGTCAGAAAACAAAAGAACATCACACATTTGTCTTTAAGTGAAAAAGACAGTCACAACTCTTAAAAATAATCTTCTAATTCAGTGGCTCCATGCAAAAACCCAACATGTATTACTATTCTGAGGCTTCAAAATGAATGCTTCCTGAAGAACAAAAAACTAATCATCCTACTCTGATACTCATCTTATTAAAGCAAAAGTAATAAAAAACTTGTATTATAGTTTAAGCCAAGTCTGTTTCACTGAAAACAGCAGACCATTTGATGCCTTTCTCCGAGGACAAGCGGCACTTCAAACCCTTGCATTTCCACAGCATGCGAGATAATACAAAGGCAAAATACTCAGAGGACCATAATCAAACCATCTACATGTGAAAATAGCTACAGTATTATGGAAACATATCCAAAAAAGGCAATAAAGTTGATTTTCTTCAAACATTTTAACATGGGCACAGTGCTGAATTCTGTAGAAATCGCAGTAAATTCCACTGAAACCAACAGAACTTGCTTCTAAGTGAACATTCATAGGATTCCATTGTCTGTGTGCAGCAGGCTTAAAAGGATGGCAATTTATTTCTTTTAAAACTACCTAGAGATGGGGGTATTCATATTCGTATATGAATATCCCCACACAGGTGGAAATAACAATGATCCATTCACAGTTTTGCTGCCCGTGGCCGCTCTGCGGTGCCTTCCTATTGCACCGTTGTCCGCAATCAATTAGATCCATTCACAATTTTGTCCGCAATCAATTACCCTTTCCTGGCAGGAGGCGGGATGACAAGCCTCTCTGCCAGGTCACAGACTGGCTAATCCATTGTGGAAAACAGCGCAATAGGAAGGCTCCGAGGAGCCAGAAGCAGCAGCGAAATCATAAGTGGATATAACCGTCTCTAACTACAACCTAGTCCTTAGTTACTGTGGAGCCAAAGTCAATATGTAACCAGGACGGCAGAAAGACAGCAACAGTAAGAAATGTGTGCTTGAAGCACTACAGGGCAGTATATAAGCAGCACACTCTGCTTTTTAGATTAGGTATTTATGTAATCTAACTTTCATTGCTGTACATTTTCCAAGAAAACTGCCAGTCTTATGGGAGTATTTTATATTGAAAAAATATTGTGCCTTCGTTGCTCACCTCTTAACATGACTATGTGCATTTGTGTATATATATGACATTCCTTAATGCTACTGTGTAGTCTGCAGGAGGAGACAGAGGGGCCTCCTTGTAACCTGGAAAAGGGGCCTTCGGCAGGGCCTGGACAATACAATATTCTTATCAAAGATGGCCAGTACTGTCTTGAAACTAGTTAAAACCTGCTTTCCAGGTCTCACCCAATACCTCTCCAGGACACCCCTCAAGCTCTCTAGCATAAGAAACTGATACACTAAGGCACTGGTTCTTAACCTTGGGTTACTCAGGAGTTTTGGACTGCGACTCCCAGAAGCCTTCACCACCAGCTGTCCTGACTGAGGTTTCTGGGAGTTGCAGTTCAAAAGCATCCGAGTAACAGAGGTTAAGAACCACTGCACTAAGGTATAAGGGTCTGTTGCTGTCTTTGTTAGGAACTTTTGCTCACTTTTAGAGCATAGCCACTAGCGTGTATCTTTTGGCTTCAATAAAATTACATTGCACCATGCTGATATCCCTTTTCTTGGTCTTATGCCAGGGACTTTCCTGCCCCCACTAGGTAACAATTTCAACAGGATAGATATTTAGGGTCTTGTTCTGAATGTATCCGTGACGGAACCTTGTAAATTGTTGGGGAAAGAACATTTTAGAGACTTGGCACTGCAACCGAAACAGCTTTTCTGCCTGTTGCCATTCACAACTTCGTCTTACACTTCCACAAACTTCATCCTACACATGTTGACTCTAAATCACTACTGCATGTTCCCACATATTGCAAAAACATGTTGCATCTTAAACACATAGCTTATAGTGCCTTAATGCAACGATCACAGACTAAACACCAGGAAGAACTTCTTGACAGCAAGAGCTGTGGGAGAGTAGAACAGGCTGCCCTGGCAGGTGGTAGATGCTTTTTCAAGGGAGACTTTTAAGCAGAGATCCGCCAGTCTCTTGTCAGGCCTTCTTTAGCAGCAGATTTCCTGCTTCTGCAAAGGAGCTGGACCTTGGATCCTTCCCACCTCTCAAATTCTTAAGAATAATCTTAGATCTGCGCAGCTGGAAGGGACCCTGTTATGGCAGACAAACCCTATAAACTTCACAAATGAATGGATATTTGGAAGGGAGTCGCCTCGCTCCTCGTCTCATCCTCACAGCCTCTCTGCCATGCGGATGTGCTGGGATTACAAAACCCATCGGTCACAGACCTCAAAAAAATCCAAAATGGGGTCAATGGGATTTGTAACCCGACAACCAAGAGGGAACCAGGTTGAGGGGAAAAAGGGAGCTCTAACCACTACACCCCACAGCTCCTGTCATATACCTATCAAGGGAGGAATTGGGGGGGGTCATTCCAAACCCCGCACGACGTACCAAGAGACCGTTGACGTACCGCGCCCGCAACTCCTCACCCGCCGCCAAAAGGGCTTCTTCGAGCACCACCTTCCCAACTTGAGGCCCAGCGAAGTCGCTCCCGGTGACGTCACGTCCGGCAAAAAAAAAAAAACCACGAACGGCCGGCGGCGGTTGAACGCCGAGCCGCGGGAAGTCGGGCGGGTCCTGGCTCGGAGGAATCCGCAGGCGCATGCGCAGTTTAGAAAGACAAGAATTTCGCGTGAATACCGGAAGTGTAGTACGAGAAGAGAGAGGCGAGGAACCCTCTCTAAAGTACGCGTGCGCGGAAAAGTGGATTTCCCCCAAAAAGTCGACAGTACGCATGCGTCGGCATTGGAGCAGCTGTCCGCGTGGGCGTGGCTGTGAGTCTAGGAAGCCCCGATGGGCGAGTAACTTTTCTCCGGATGAGTCTCCGCGGTTCAGCAGCCAGGACGGGCATCGTCGCTCCTTGGGAAAGGGGGCTTGCAGGTGAAGGGGCGGTTTTTCTAAGCCTGGCTAATGATTAACACACAGAAGCCAGGATGTGTGGAAGGGGATGTTTATGAATGAAAGAGGAGAAGAGTTGGCCTGATCAATGGAGGTCCAGTAGGTTTTTTTAAAACTTTCTGGATCCCTTTTTTACTATGCTAGCCTAGCCTCCTGGATTTCCTCACCCCCACCCTTATGCCTGCGTGGAAAATTGCAAGGAGGACCCAGATTCTGGCAGTGGGAGGCAAACACCCCAAGGGTGCCTTACTGGGTGATTTTAAATATGGTTACTTTCCCATTGATTTCTGCTGATTTTTTGGAACCTGCCCAGCATTGTGCTGCAGGAGAAGATGATGGGGGTGGGATGGGTGCTTGACTGTCCACTAGTGAAGTTTGTCACTCTCGGAGCTCAACAAAATTGTGAGGGGGTTTTTTGGGACTCTCCCAAAGACTCCTAAGACTCTCCCAGTCAGCACCTTCAGTAGCTGTTCTGACTAGGCAGTTCTTCAGTTGTAGTCTGAAGTACGTAGTGGGACTTCCCTATTTTAAATATTTTGCTAGAAATGTGATTTTTTTTTTAAAAAAAAAGAGAGAGGCTATACTCCATGTTTTCAAGAGCTGGTCTGAATCTATTGGAAGGCTTAAGTAGACCTATTCAATCAGTTATATTTGGGTAAGTGGTCACTCCCCAGCCACCTGAAATCCTGTGGCTTAGTATAGTAAGTCACAAAAAGAGTCGGCTCACGGAATTAGTGGGACTTTAAAACAAATTGCAAATTTCGATTGGTTGGGAATCTGCCACATATTTACCAATCACAGGGTTTTCTTGTCCACTATTTGGAAGCTGTGGCCTGCGATGAACTAAAACACTGATGAGTGTATCTCTTGCAGAAACCTTGGATCTTTTTGCTGTCTCCACATAAATGGTGAGATTGTGGCCCACCTACAGCATGCGGGAAAGCGCAGCGAGGAAAGACCACTGTGTTACGTCTGATACATGAGGGTTTTTTAGTACTTTGTTTGAAAGCAGCCTTGGGCTCCATCACATTTACCTGGAAGTATGTCCCAGTGAACCCAGTTGAGCTTACTTCTGAGTAAAGAAGACACACGGTCATTCTATACACATTCATGCCAAGGTAAGACTTAGTTATTTCAACAGGATTTACTCCCAATTAAGAATATATACGGGGGTTAATTCTTGTACTAAATGAATAGGGATACAGTGGTGCCTCGCATAGCGATGTTAATTGGTTCAAAAAAAATCGCTATGTGAAACCATCGCTATGCGAAACACCATTTCCCATAGGAATGCATTGGAGACCGGTTAATCCGTTCCAATTGGAACGGATTGCCGTCGTTAAGCGAAAAAACCCATAGGAAACATCGCTAAGCGAAACAATGTATCCTCCATTGGAATGTATTGAAACTGACTCAATACATTGTAATGGCTTTGCAAAGTCAATTTTTGTAATTTTAAATGTGTCATACAAGGGTCAAAAATGGTTTTAAATGCTTGGATTAGCTTCTGCACCCTCTAAAACGGATGCAAAAGTTAATTTGGCTTTGATCTGACTTTTCATTAATTTATGGTGAATTTTTCCCCCCAACTTTTGACAGCTGTCAAAATCTGACAGCTCCATTATTTCCTATGGGGGAAGAAAAATTCACAAAAAATTAATGAAAACTCAGCAACTGTTCTAAATTCTTGGGTTCGTTAGAGGACCCTCTAAGTTGTGTGCAAACCTGATTTGGCTTTGATCTAAACTTTCGTTAATTTTTTGTAAATTGTTTTCTCCCCCATAAGAAAGCATGGAGCTGTCAGATTTTGACAGGTCCATTGGTTCCTATGGGCCAAAAAAAAAAAAATTCACAAAAAATTAACGAAAAGTCAGATCAAAGCCAAATCAGGTTTGCACATGACTTAAGGGGTCCTCTAACGAATCCAAGCATTTAGAACCGTTTTTGACCCTTCTAAGACACTGTTTTAATTGAAAAAAAACATCGTTAAGTGAAGCAGGGGACCTAAAATCGCATTCGTTATGCGAAGCATGGTCCCAAACTTCGCTAAGCGAAAATCGCCCATAGGAAGCATCGTTATGCGATGCATATTATTTTCTAAAAAAAACCACATCGTTATGCGAATTCATCGCTAAACGAGGCAATCGTTAAGCGAGGCACCACTGTATTTCAAGCCTACAGTATTTCGTATGCCAGTAGTTTCAGAATGCGAGATCTATAAAATATGGTTAGATTTTGTGCAGATATATGAAGCATTTATTACAACAGCTGAGGAACAGGTATTCCCTGTGCCTGTTGTTACTCCAATTTATTTATTATTACTTGTCACTGCATATTGTTATCTCTGGTTTTTAGTACAGTAGTATGCCCATAAACTATGTCTCTTTACATCCATTTTATTTGTATTCTGCCCTCTCCCTTTATCGTTCTTCGTGGCAAAAGTTAAATGGTAAAATCTTTGGAAGACAAAACATCAAGGGTGGGGATGGAGTAGCCTCGTTGCTTTATTTCTGTAAAATACCATGGATAAAAGCCCAACAAGTTTAGGCCCATAAAAATCCCATTACCTCAATGGGAGACTAAGTTCCTCCTCAAATCACCTCTGTTAAAATCAGTGAGACTCCTTAGTGCTTGCTTTTGATTGCATTGTCTGTCATAGATATTGGTTGCGCTATTTAATTTTATTGTTATTTATTAAATATTTAAAGCGCTGAGCAGGTTTAGCAAGCTTATAATTGCCATGAAAGAGGACTAGAAAGAAGAAAATATTTAAGCAAGCCAGGTCACATACTACTCTCTCCTCCACCCTCAGCTTCGGCAAAACTGTTCTTTGTTTTTCCTTTTCCACAACAGAGGAGAGATCTGGTAATAGTGCAGAAGGGGGGAAATATTGTTTTATCATATGGGGACTGCAAAAACCCAACCTCAGTGCCCCCCTGAGTGACAGTTTCTCTTTCCATTCTGAAATTTGCTGTTGCTTATACAGTGGTGCCTCGCTAGAAGATGATAATCCGTTTCACTGAAATCGCTGATTAGCGAAATCATTGTCTAGCGAAAAGCATTTCCCCATTGGAATGCATTGAACCCTGTTTAATGCGTTCCAATGGGGAAGAATCGTCGTTGTTTAGTGAAGATCGGCCATAGGAAAGCTGCTTTCCAAACCGCCGATCAGCTGTTTAAATAGCTGTCTTGCGAAGCTTAGGTCCCGAAAACACCCATTTTGCGAGCGTGGAGGGAGCTGTCAAAATTGTTGTCTAGCGAAAATTGGTTTGCGAAGCAGGGACCAAACATTGTCCAGTGAAATTCCCCCATAGGAATCACTGTTTTGCGAATCGCTATAGTGATCGCAAAAAGTCAATGTCTAGCGAAAAAACTGTCATGCGGGTAACTGTCTAGCAAGGCACCACTGTATTCCTGTGGGTTTTAAAAGTAGGCCAAGGAATCGCATTCATGTTGCCTGAATGTGGGACTGTAACTTGATTTCCATACCCTTTTCTTTATTTCTGCATGGACAAATGAATAAAATCTTATCTAAGAGGTTGGTAATTTGAGTACCCAGTTTACTGCAGGGCTAATGTGTAGCCTGCATAATTAAATTGTAAACTGCCCAGAGAATGCTTTAAAGTGCTGTGGGGCAGTATATAAGCAACATGCTTTGCTTTTGCTTTAAGATGAAATATTTGGGGGGGAGGCGAGGATCCTTTTCCTTTTGTTTTCTCCTCTGCACATGAGCTGATTCTATCATGAGATATGGTGTATCCTATGTCCTTCTCATTTGCTGTCTTCGTCTTCTCAGGGGCTGCCTCTCTCTGACGATGAACAGCCAAAAGAAGGCAGTGCATGTTGAACCAAGTGCAAACTTTCACCAGTTTAGCCCCGACATCCTTGCCGAGACCGAGAAGCTGTTTCAGAAGCAATTTTTGTACACCAAACCTCCCAACGACGAATGGCAGTTGCCAGATTCCAGCCAGGTTTTTATCTGTGATCACAAGGAGTTCGGTTCCCTTGTTGCCCTGAAAAATTCCCTGAATGAAGTCAAGAACAAGCTGAGCGATAAGAGATTGGACGAGTGGCATCAACACACATCTTTCACCAACAAAGCGGGGAAAATAATTGCTTATCTGAAGAAGTCTGTGAATGCTGAGTTGTGTACCCAGGCGTGGTGCAAATTCCACGAGATCTTGTGCCGTTTTCCTCTGCTCCCGTGCGAGGCCCTCCAAAATGGAGAGCTCAACTCCGTACATCTTTGTGAAGCTCCCGGTGCTTTTATAGCCAGCCTAAACCATTACTTGAAGTCCCACCATGTCCCTTGTGATTGGAATTGGGTAGCCAATACCTTAAACCCGTACCATGAAGCCAATGACACCTTTATGATGATTATGGATGACCGACTTATTGCAAACACTTTGCCCTGGTGGTATTTTGGCCCTGATGATACAGGGGACGTCATGACCCTGAAGTACCTCAGAGGATTGCAACATTTCATAAGCAACATGGCCACGGTTCACCTGGTCACCTCTGATGGGAGCTTTGATTGCCAAGGAAATCCAGGGGAACAAGAGGCGCTCGTTTCCTCCTTGCATTATTGTGAAACGGTCACGGCCTTAATGACCCTCAGCCTTGGGGGATCGTTCGTTCTGAAGATGTTCACTTTATTTGAGCATTCTTCTGTGAACTTGCTGTTTCTGCTGAACTGTTCTTTTGAGGAGGTGCATGTTTTTAAACCAGCCACAAGCAAAGCTGGAAATTCTGAGGTTTATGTGGTTTGCCTTCACTATTTGGGCAAAGAAGCCATCCATCCGCTTTTATCCAAGATGATGCAGAACTTTGGGAACGCGATGGTAGAGAGAGCCCTTTTCCCTCAGCATTTAATTCCAGAATCATTCCTTAAAGTCCACGAACAATGCTGCTCGTTCTTTCACAGGCACCAGACCGAGACGATTTTGGAGAACCTCAGACTTTTTGAAAGCCTGAGTGAGGGGGAGCGTGCAAAGCTAGATGGTTTACGGGATTGTGCTGTAGAGTTCTTTTTACACAGATACCAGATGAAGCCCATTGTCAGAAACAATTGGTTGGTGAAGAGGTCCCGGGTGGGCTACAGCATGAACTCCAAATGGTGTGGGCTGAGGAACAAATATTTTTGCACCTACAACGAAAGGAAATTGCTGGAATCGCTGTCATGGGAAGATAAGTTGGCAAAGGGCTGCCTTAACGTGTGGGCTGAACAACACACTCTTGGTAACGTGGGGAAAGGCTGTGTTTTAGAAGGGGTGTCTTATAACCCAGACTGTCACCTGTGGTATATCTTGGAGGGGCAGAGGTTGCCCAAAGTGACATGTTCTCCCTTCTGTGAGGGAGATGCCTTAAAGAGCCTCAATGAGGCCCTTGAGAAATCTTTTGTAGGCCTGGCAGGGGCCAGTGCCTTCATGAGACTCACAGAGCAGGAATGTCCCTCTTGCTCGGTTCTGACAGAATCACTTGTATGGTCTGAACTGGTGGACCTTATGGAGCATCCTGAAGACGTTTCCAATAAAGACAGCCCTAACCAACCCAAATGTTTTGTCTTTGGCTTCCCATCTTTTTGTGGTGCCGAAAGTCAAACTGGCTTGGAAGTGAAACTTCTCGAAGCAGCACCTCTCTCAGCTTTCAGCTGTTCTGTCCTTCATGATGGAGAACCAAAATATCAACAGAAGGTTCTGGAGCTGCTCCTGCAGGTGATCCCTCAGCTTCAGGAAGGAGACGCTTTGGTTCTGCCCGTTCTTTCCTGTTTTACACGCTTCATGGCTGGCATCGTCTTCATACTGCACAGCTGCTTCCAGCGGGTCTTGTTTGCTTGTCCCACATCGTCTCGGCCTTTAGGGAACAGCGCTGTATTGCTGTGTGTTGGCTATCGAGTTCTTCCAGACCCCGTTGTCCAGTACCTGCAGAAGCTGAATGAGCGCATGAGGACTCTGCTTGATTTGGGCTCCCCACAGCAGGTCCTGCAGTTTGTGCCTATGGAAAATCTTCTGACGGGGTTGCTCCTAGAATTTCTGTGGGACTTAAATGCGGCCATTGCAAAGCGACAATTGCATTTGATTATTCAAATTGAGCAGCAGCAGATGGTGTGATGTTCAGTTCAACACAGTCACCACCAGCCCTTTGGTTTGGCTAACCAGATTTTCTTTCCCCCCTTTTTTAAACCATTGTGACCATATCTTTAGAAAAAGATGGAGCAACAAAAGGCCTCTTTTCCTCTCTTTTGAACTTAACACTACTCTGCTTGTTTTAGTTTCTGTGTATCACGTACATGCGTGATAGCAAAAACCACAAATTAAGATGGGGAAAAAATCCAAATCTCTTAAGCCCAGACTAGGGAATGTATCGTCTTCCTGATTTTATTGGACTGCAACTCCCATCAGGCCTAGTAATCACGGCCAAAGATGAGGAATTGTGTGAATTTCAGCTCCAGCATATCGGTGGCTACAGGTTGCCCACTCCCATTTCTAAGTTTCTGCAAACCCATCTAGTTCAGAACTTCTTCAGAAGTGCTGCAACTTCTCACAGGAGCACACAGCTGAGTGGGAGCTATTTGCCCCCTCCATAAGGTTGTGATTTGACACAGTCTGTGTGTAGAGCAAGTCATTCAGGTCTCTCTCAAACCAATCCAGGCCCTGCCAAGAAACTAGCCACCTGTTCATTGTTTTATGTGTTTTATCCTGCTGCCTTGTATGAAAGGATTTTGGGGTGGGTTTTTTAATGTGGCTTAAAGCACTCTTATCTACTCCCAGCAAGCATACTTCACGTTTATGCTTTGAATACCTTATTAGAAGCTCAGCTAATTGTTGTTTTTTTGGGGGTGGTGGTGGTTTAACTATCCAATGTCTTAAGAACAGCCTTTCTCAACCCACCACCTCTCCCAGATGTGAGGGGCTACACCACTGATCCATCACACGGTCTAGGGTTGGGGAAGAATATTTAATCTTCTCCAAGTAAACGCAAATAGCCACATGCCACTTTTGTGAGGTCTTTCCGTTACAGGATTGTCCATCAATCTTCAACTGCTTCTAGAGTTGTGCTAACAGTAAAACTTGGGTAAAATTAAAACAAAACAAAAAAAGAGTCTTGTGGATCATAAGAGCCATTGAAAGCTGACGCAGTAGGTAAGGATGTGTGGATTTTTGTTGTCTACCAAGGAAGAGTGGGTTTGAGTAATGTCCCTTCAACCCGTAAAATAAAAAAGTGGCAGAATTCTGGCACTAAAGTATTACTTTGTTTTTTGGTGCCTTAATTTAATGTAGTTGGTCTGAAAAGCAAATATATTTGAATCTTTGCTCCTGACCAACAGGTATTATTGAACATGACTATTATTTCAAGTGTTCATTTCACGTGAAATATATTTGAATTTTTGCTCCTGACCAACAGGTGTTATTGAACATGACTGACTATTATTTCAAGTGTTCATTTCACGTTTTTTCCCCCTCTCCGTTGTTGTAGAGGAGTTAGTATACTATAGTTGCTCAAAGACCAGTGGGCCTCAGGGCATACCAAGGGCAGCTGTTCTGAAATAAAGTTGTGGGTTATTTAGGAAGTATTGCAGTTTCAGTACGAAGCAGCTGCGGTGCAGCTGTCCAGCTGCAAGAACATTCAAAAGTTGCTTTCCATTCAAGCAGCTTCATGTTTTTTCCGCTTGAACGCCATCTTGGGCACAGATGCTAAGCAATAGCATTAAACTATAATCCGCTTGTGCTTTCTTGCAGAAGCTCTGTTGCTGAAACAAAAAAAGCTGTGTAGTAATACAATCATGCTTTCCTTTAAGGAGCCCTGACCGCTGCTTTCTGGTGAATTGTGCTCCTTGTGTGTAATGTTCATAGCACACAGCTGGGAACCACAATCACTATAAAGTGGTACGGAAAGTCCACCTTTCGAGTTTCGTATTTCCTTTCCCATAACTCTTCACCTGGTCATTTCACAGCATAAATTCCTTTTGTGTCATCCAAAAATGTAGGGTTTTCAACTTGACTCTGCTTGAGATTGCCTCCTTTCCTTTGTTTTTCAAGTTTTCATTTCTTTTCAAAATAAATGCAATGTAAATACAGTATATGTTACAATATCTAGGTTTTCAGACCTGGTTCAGCCAGGTTAGCATTTTTAAGGGTTCACTTACTGTCCAAATGACTTCTTTTTTCGGTTTTGTGAGCTAATTTTTCCTTTTTACAAATCTCAAGTTCTTAGAAGGATGGCGGGCACAGTTTTAGAATAAGCAGCTTGCAGGTGACTGCTTCATATTGATCCGCCTGTTTTTATATCTGTTTAAATCTTTGAATTATGGACATGGAGGGAGTCTGACTTACAGAAAAGAAATTAGGATATTTCATGTTTCAGATTTTGAAAATAAAATGTTCTTTGTGTATTTTTTTTCACTTGTTATTTGTTAAGTGCCCGCTACAAATAGCTGGACTTTTAGACAAGTGTGAACCAGAATTTGTAACTATTAGAATATTAATTAAAGGCCAGTGAGATTTGTAATGAAAATAACTTTTAAAAGGTTTTAAACACTGCTTGTATCCCACTTCTAACCTCCATGTTAAATCTATCTGAAAAGATTTAGTTTGGCTGAACGGTGAAAAGTTTGAGAGGTTCCAAACATTTATTCAGGATTATGTTTCTTTTGAAGCATATTGTTAGAGACTTGTAACATTTCCATACTTGGATCTTAAAAATAATTACTTTTTAAATAATAATTTTATTAAAGGAAGTTAATAATGACAACACTAAAATGTGTATACATACAATACACCTATAATTCCCATCCCATATCACCCTCACTCTCGGGACTAAATAACCAAAAATATCCTTTTAATCCCTTTTCATCCCTTTCCACTCCAAAATACATTGATTCTTCTGCTGGCTTATGACTTGACCTTTCCCTTACACAAATATATACTTCAAATATAAGTTCCATACCTCTTTAAAATCATATTTTGTCATTCCCCTCCTTACTTTCATTTCACATGTTAGTTTATCATTAATCACTGACTCCAAATTTCTTTGTACCAATCTTCAAGATTAATTTGCTTATCACTTTTCCGATTATAATAATTGACCATTATAATAATTAACCCTTTCTGTTCTTTTTAAATGTGGTCATTCTTAAAGGGCAATAACTGGTGATATTTGAATATTATATCCAATCATTTCTCTAATTTCTTTAAAAACCAGTGCTCATTCTTTCTTATTTCAGAAGTCCACCACATATGCATATAGGTCCCTTTTTCTTTTTTTACATCTCCAACATTGAGACGGTACATTTTTATTTCTTATATTCAGTCTTGCTGGAGTAAAGTACCATCTCCATGCAACCTTGTGACAATTTTCTTTTACCCTTATAGATATATTCTTCGTTATTCTTTGTGACCATATTTTATTCCAATCCTCATTTTAGACCTCTTCCTCTAAATCCTCTTGCCACTGATTTTTCATCATAGCTTTTTTAGATCCTGCTTGTGTTATAAATTAAACTAACTGTATCCTTTCTTTTGTTTCCTTCTCCTTGAATTTGTCTTTGCTCAATAATCATCTCAAATTTTGTCAATTTTCCAATTTCTCCTAATTTTTTGGTCAACATCTTTGTACAATTTTCCATTTGGAGTATGCTTAACCAAAATATCCCTCCTTCCCGCCCCAAAATTTCCTTTATAGTATTTTTAGAAGCCTACCTAGTATTGAAGCCTACCTAGTATTTTTAGCTTTCATCTTTTTCCTCCAGTTCCTTATTATATTTAACCCTTTCTCTGTGAATACTTCTTTAAGTTTAATTTTAATAATTTTGGGGGGAAATAATTAAAAATGTAAACAACAACTCTTAAAAATGGACTAATTGTTGAACACTCAGAACTTGTTTGTGAAACTATAAACATTAATTTCATTTTTTACTTCGGTGGCTAATTCTGAGGGAATTTTCCCATTTTTAGTAACTTAAAAAATAAAAACAAACCTGTTAATAATTATTTGAAAAAAGTCAATCCGTACTTCTCTTAGTGGCTCATACCCAGATCGGTAGGTATTTCATGTACCTCATTTTTATACTGCCTTTCTCCCAGGAAAGGTATTCAAAGTTTTATCCTAGTGACAGGACAGATGCTCATCATAATGTGTTTGTGTTTTACACTAATGCTTCCAAGCTTTCTGTGGCCCATATCCTCTTAACAAGTTACACTGGAGGAGCACAAACAGTGTAGCTTTCGGAGATGTGTTGCCGCTAGTTAAGGAATCACCATGGACATTGTGAGTTGCATACTGAGTTGTATGACTCAGCATGCAACTGATAATATCTATGGTGATTTCTTAACTTTGCACAATTTGCCTCAAAAAGTTGCACCATTTGGATAGCAAGGCAAAAGGATTTTGGCCTGTAACTGGAGGAGCACAAACAGTGTAGCTTTCGGAGATGTGTTGCCGCTAGTTAAGGAATCACCATGGACATTGTGAGTTGCATACTGAGTTGTATGACTCAGCATGCAACTGATAATATCTATGGTGATTTCTTAACTTTGCACAATTTGCCTCAAAAAGTTGCACCATTTGGATAGCAAGGCAAAAGGATTTTGGCCTGTATGTTGTACTTTGCAAAATTTACCTCCAAAAGTTGCACCATATGTATAGCAAGGCAAAAGGATTTTGGCCTGTATGTTGTGCTTATTTACACAGACATACAAGTGGAACATAAGATGAGGAATAACACTGCATATTGCTACTCTCCAGCAAACCGTAGAGCAGTGGTTCCCAACCTTTTTCAAATCATGACCCCCTTTATAATAGCGAAGTAACCTGCACCCCCACATATTTGCATAAACACCATTTTCAGTAAAGTCATCTCTTCTTAGAAAACAGGATTCTTTCTCCCCGCAGCCCTGGCCAAAAGGGCCTGTTTCTCATACATACACTCACATTAACTTCATTATCCCTTTATGAAAGATCAAAGAAGAAATTATTTAACAGGCTGCAACACATATAAGACAACCTGCAACACCTGAAACACTGCTGTAGAACCATTGTTTTCTGCTTTATTTTCAGCAGAGTCTGTAAAAAAAAAAAAAAGAGAGAGAGAGAGACTATACTGGGTTCATCTTACTGTTCTCATCCCAGACTTGCAAGGGCTGACTAAAATGTTTTGCCTGTTCGATTATGCTTTACACACCAATGTGTTAACTATGTACACAGTGCGATGACTTCATATTAAAGCACACATTTCCACAGCCATTAAAAACAGTGCTGCTTCAGATTGAGTGTCAATATAGGTTTAGCAG